TTATCTGAGTTTGTAAAATACCTAAAAATAGTTTGCTGATAATTGTTACCCTCCACCCTCAAGAATGCTTTTTGTTTGACTTTTTGCTTTCGTATGAACTCTGGAAAAACTTTTTACACTACTTTAAATACCTCTGTGTCAGCCAACATCAGGAAAGGAAAGCTTATTAAACACATTATTAAAAGTAAAAGCCAGGTCGTGGGGGACCTTGGGTACCAGTGAAAGTGCTTTTAGTTTGAAAATCATTAAGAATAAGGGAAGCAGGGAAGGACTAGGGAGAAAGGTGCTCCAGAAAGACCCATCTTTCTAAAGAGATGGCCAAAGACAAAGCGACTGTTGCTGTGGTACTGTTGCTATGGTACTGTTGCTATGGTACTGTTGCTACGGTACACCAGTTAGGCAGGGAGGCCTTGGCCAGGACTCATGTCAGAGGGAGATGGTTTTAGAAGTTAATCTGCAAGATTGCATCTGAGATGCAAAGCATGTAAGGAGTTGTAAATGTTTCAAACAGTCACCGAGACACTCCAAGGCCAACTGCTGACACTGAACTTGCCGTCATTGAGTTCTGTCAAATCCTTGCCTTAGTTCATAAGAAAACTCTGGCTCGGAAGATAAAGTGGCCTGCACCGTATCCCAGGGATAACTGCTGGCAATGTGCGGCTAGAATTCATGTTTCAGTTTCCTGGTTAATTTTAAGACAATTCTCCATTTATTATTGTTTCTATTTCACCAAGAAACTCTCTCGGCTTAAATGCCCTTTCTCTGGAAGTCTAGGTCTCTAGGTAATCTGTTTCTCCATTATCTGGTACTAGCAGCATGGCTCTGAGCCCTGAACAAAGCTCCAATTTCATTATCTGGACAGTAAGTAGAAATAGTTCAGTAGTTCCACAGAGTTGAGGACCGTGGAGAGGGTTAAAGGAGACAATCTTCTTAGCTTTAAAGATGACATCTCACTGTGTAGCCGAGGCTACCTTTAAACTCATGATCTTCCTCCCTCTGTTTCCTGAGTACTGCAAGGCTTGTACTCTGTGCCCAGAGAGCATCACCCTTACAGAGAGCCTACCAGAGGCTGGGCTGTGGTAAGCTACCCTCGTGACTGGGGACTGTCCCAGCTTCAATTATCCAGATTCCTATAAATGTGGTCACCAGGCTGTAGAAAAATATGATTATCTGGCATTTTAAGTAACTGCTAAGGTTCTGACTATCTCCACACCTAGCTACCTGTGAGATAAAGTCAGCCCTAGCTTCAGCATCCTCATCTGAAAAACCAAGATGGCTGAGTGTACTTGGTGAGGGGCAGACGAGAGAACGTGGGAAGACAGGGCAGTATGGAGTTTACCAAGCCAATCATTTCAAAAAAGCATCCCACAATGGCCCTGTTCGGAACATCCTGACATCCTTGGAATAGTCCACAAAATCATCAGACAACCTAGATGGGACCATTTCTGATCAGGAGTTGAACTCTGCAAGAGACCTCTTTCTGTTGTCTTCTCCCTTGCCACTTCCTCACTTCTAATAGAATCAGAGTTAGCCTGGACTGCTGCTGTGATTCTAGAAGAAGAGTCAGTCTTCAATGCAGGGGGTGTGTCCCGCAGGTTTGGGTGAACAGGCTGGATTTTCGCTGTGCCTTTTCTGGTGCACAGTCACTCTGGAAGAGCCCATCACTATTGACAGTCGAGGACTCAGACATGACGTGGTCCAAGCGTTGCTGAGAATAGCCCTGACTTATTCCTGGAATGTGTCATCAGCCTGCACTTTCCTTTTTCTGCCTCTTAAAACTTCATAGACAGGAAGACTGTGTCTGAGTTGACCAGGAAGTTTCTCAGCACGGTAGGGTTAATCCTGGGGACTGGACCACATTTCCCGGTTGTTGTTCTCATGATTGGTCAGCTCACACTGCAGGTACCTTACAGGAGACTGTCCAATACTTTAATTCCTAAAGAGAAGGATCGGATAGCAGATGGTTTTCTTCTTTTCTCTGGGTCTTTTAGTATTTGGACTTTGCTCCAGGAATGTGAGAAGCGATATGTCTTTCTAGGGGCATGCCAACTTAAGGCCCCTGTGACCACGCATGGCCTTGAATGCGGGAGGCAGCTCCAGACCTCAACTAGACAGCGTGGATATTTTTCTCATTAACTAAGTTGCAAAGCTCCTTCTGGTTTCCGCACAGGTGAGCTCGTACGTGAGCTGCAGGACAGATGTGTTAAGATCAGGGCCAAGGCAGGGAGGAATTTCAGCTTCACACTTCTTCCCTGACGAAGCAGGAGCCTCAGCAGCTGGCGCTGTGCTCCCTTTGACCAAGCCCCTGCCACACTAGTTGCCGGTTATTTAGAATATTGCTTCCCCTTCTGAGTCGTGATTTCCTCCTTTCTTCCAAACATCTTTGCAGTGTAGCTGGCAATTGTCCCTCATTCCAGAGAATATTCCCAGGATAGGGGTCTGTATCTCTTCACACACACACACACACACACACACACACACACACACACACACACAAATGAGTTAAACAATGTATTGTGTGTTTTTCCCCAAATGTCCCAACAGACAGAAGAATGTCTACTTTATTAAGAATAGTCTCAAAGGAGACTAGAGGCGGAGAGATGGGACTATATTGGCCACTGACCTCTGTCAGTGCATCCATGGTGACAGTTTGGGGACTTCACAATTCATCATGACTCTGTTCATGACCCAAATGAACAGAAAGGTTCACTGGAGCATTTAGAAAGTACCGACCTGAGGTTTGCTCTGGTGTCCCCTGAGTCTGAGTTCCTCCCTAGGCTCTCTTTCTCGTCTCTTATTTCTCACACCCTTGGCTAATTGCCTCACTGTGGCGCCGACCAGTATACAGTGTACTCTGTTGGGACCTAAGAAGACTGACTTGCCTTCTGAGGGAGTATCCTTTGGAGATATAGGATGGGCTTATTCCTCTTAGCCATAGCTGCTATCAGCAGCCTTCATCAGCCTATGCCTACATCAAACACGCACATAAAGACCAAATAATGTGTCACTCCGGTTTCCTGCAGCAGATGCATCTGGCCTGTGGCGTCTACCCCCATAACTGAAATTGCGACGCATTGCCCTAAAGTCACTGAGCTGAAGAATTTTAAAAATGCATTGATTGTCAGCTGTGCAAACTGAAACATTTCACCGAGCCGTGCCTTTCCCTTTCTCGGCGGGAAGGCGGAAAGGCAGTTGACTCTTGGCGATTGACATACAGTTCTTCCTGACAGGTGCTTCTTGGCCCTCATCAGTGTGGCATCCTGATCCCGAGCCTCTGGTGCTCTCTGCAGGTCTCTCATGGCTGACCTCTGCCCTTCACTGATCACCAGGGGGTGATAACCATTTGTCATATTCGCTGTGCTTAGGTATTTCCAAATTCTTTTCTCAGGAGCTCTTCCTGGCTTTAAATCTCAGTTGCGTCTCAGGAAATTCTGAGAGAATCAAGGGAGGAAGTATGATGAGCCCTACTTTACAGGTGAAGTATTGGAATCAAAACACATAGAAGATTTAGTCAAGGATACAGGTCACAATAATGCCCCTAATCCCAGACCCTAGTCCAAATCTCCCATCTCGATCTGTGACTCTTTTTACGGGCACACATCATGTGAGAGGGCCAGGCAGGTGGCTCAGTCGATAATGTACCTGCTGTAGTACCATATTGTTCAATCCCAAACAGCCACATTGAAGCCCAGTACAGTCTTGAGCATCCGTAATCTCAGCACTGCAGAGGTAGACAGGCAGGTCCTCAGCCTTGACAGCCAGCCAGTTGAGTCAGCCGATGAGCTGTAGGTTTAGTGAAAGACCTGCCTCAAAACAGGGTGGAGCACTCCAGAGGAAAATTCCCGACGTTGACCTCTGACCTCCTCACGTGCATGCATAGGCGAGCCAACCTGTGCACACAATGTGCACTCACACAAAGACAGAAAAGAAGCGATCTATACCAAGTCATTTTTCTTGGCTCCTGAATGTACTTGGCTTGAGTGTATTATTCTGATTTTCAAATACAACAATGATTAATTTGGTTATAGGAAGGCTCCTGTATACATAACCAGTATTATATAAAGAGAGTTTAAAAATTAGTTTGTCTCATAGGATATATGTTTTGTACCATGATATAGTGCTATAAAGTAAAACTGGTATTTTTAGAACTAAATACTAACAAGTTTTAGTCAATTAATATGGTCAAAGGGTCAACTGAATGGGTTGCTTACAGAATTAAAACAACAACAACAAAAAAGGTTAAGATAGACTAGGGTAGACATGAGAATATCTAAGTGCAGCGAATGTAGCAAACATGGGGCGAGTTCTCTGAATGGTGTGGTCTGTGTGGTGGCTTACAATAAAGGGATTCCCCATCTCTCTGTACATATCTATGTATGCGGGGTGTGCACATGCGTGGAGACTGGAAGTCCTGCCTTCCCTTGCTCGAGGCAGGGTCTCTTTAACGTTTGCTGCTGCGTACACCAGGCTAGCTGGCTAGGAGCTTCTGGGGACTGTTCATTTCATTTCACATCTGTCCACAGCAGTGCTGGGTTTATAGACGGGGCTGCCTCGCCTGCTTTCCCTATGTGCTGGGGGTGCAAAATCCCACTCTTGTGTTTGTGTAGCAACACAAGAGCATCCTCTCCCAGGCCTAATAGTATCTCTTACTAAACTGCCCATCTCTTTTTCTTGTTTTCTTTCTTCAGCCTCATTTTCTCCCCCCTTTCATTCATCCCACCCTTCTTCAAGTATGCAGGAACTGAACCCCCAAACCTGCTTCCTTTGTTTTACTTAGCTTGCATTAAGACCCCCAAACACCCTCCCCTCCTCAGCCTCCCTGACATGTTTATATCCCCACTGAGACAATGCTTGTGTCTCAGTTTGATCCTCTCTGCCCTTCCCTTCCCCTCTATTGAAAAGACCCTGTGTGATGTGGCTTTCAAGACCGGGGTTGGCAATTCTTTCCTTGTTTCATAAATCAGTCGCCATGTCTCTAAAGACTCATATTTCCATTTCAGGCCAAACAACTCGAATCTGAAGAAATGAAATTGCCAAGGACAGTTGCGTTCTGCTTCGTGCTTATTGCGACGTGTTCTTCAGAAGCGACATTGAGCGTGAGCGTTCAGCCCGTTGCTCGGCCCGTGGTGAGTTAATCCACATCTGCAGTAATTTTTCCCATGGCCGTCCTTTGATTTTCTGGGAAGGTGGAAATCAGAAACCAGTTCTTTTAAAAAGCATTGTAGGAGCGGAGTTTGAGGCGTTCTGTACAGGAATGTAGCTAGTCCTTGGTTTGTTTACTGGGCTGCAACTTTCTGCAGTCTGGAGTCGATGCTAGTGTCAGGAGACTGCTCAGCCCAGCTGTCTCCACTCCCCACAGTGGGCTTGTGCAGCCAAGGAAAGCTATAATTACAGATCAATCCGAAATTGTGAATTTGCTTAAAACAGTCCAATTTAAAAACCGTGCAACTCGATTGCGTGGTTCTTGGTGGTAAACTCTGTAGGTGACAATGTCATGTTGCCATCTCAGAGAGCCTGGAGATGTTAGGCTGAGGCATCACATTAAGGCTGGCAGTGATGAAGCAGGTTTGGAAAGCTGAGGACTTTACCTGAGCATCAGACTGCAGCCCAGCTCTAAAGCCTTCAATCTCTGTGTGTGTCACAGCACACGGTGAGTGTGGCCAAAGGACCACGGGTAGTGCTAAGACTCTTCCCCAGGAAGGATGCAGGTCATTTGTCTTTGGAAGGTGGGGAGGCATTCATCTAAGTAAAGGGAGGTATGGGTAGATTGTTCCACGTGGGATTCTTTATCCCACTTCTTACGCTAGAGGCAAGGCCCGTTGCTGACAGGGAGGTGAGACACGCAATTCCACAGCTTCTTCTCTTCATGTACAGAATCATGCTAATAGTATTACCAATTTCCTATGATTGTTATGAGAGTTAAATTAGTTTACCTTTATAAAAGGCATGAGAATATTCTGTTTTAGTCTGGGTGTCTTGATCTTTGAAGTTTTAATAATTCACAGCTAAGTAAAAAGTTCTCTTTGAGATTTTTTTCTTGTGTTGAACTTAATCTGAGGAGATTGGGATTTGATAGAGGGAGTATAATTTATTCACAGAGTGTTTGAGTCTTCCATCTGGGTTTCATCACGGTATTTATTGTTTTATAACAATAAATTATATTACTTGTTTTATCACGGTATTTATTGGCTTTCTTGATAACTTTCTTGAGGCTGTAACAATTACCTGACTTAGACAAGTTGAAGACGAAGGCTTTTGTGATGGCTCGCAGCTCTAGAGGCTTTAGTTGGTGGTGGAATGGCGCAGCAGACCACAGAACGCGCACCACGGCAGCCGTGACACCGAGGAAAGAGAATGGTGGTGTCTGGCTGCTTTTCTTCCCCTTCCTGCCCATTCCCACTGCCCCCTAGCATAGAGCTGATGCCAGTCACACCAGAGTGGGTCTGTTCTCAGGCAAACCTCTCTGGAAACGCCTCTGTGGAGGTACCCGGAGGTGTGCCTTAGTCTCCTAGGGTGATCCTTGGTCCAGAAAGTTGACAGTGAAGAGCCATCATCTCAATGATTTTTGTGTGTTTGCTTCCTTTCCTCATTTTAGGGTCTCTGTTTTGGTCTAGGTTTTCTTTGTCTTTTTCATCATTCTCTTTCTTACGACTTGAGGGATACACATATGTTTCTTCCCCCAAACCCCAGTTTGTGGGGTGCAACCTAGGTAGGAGATGATCGAGCCTTTGTGAGGTGCAATTGAGGTGGGAGATGAGCCAACCTTTGTGGGGTACAACCGAGGTGGGATGTGACCCAGGTTTTGTGGGGTGCAACCAAAGAGGGAGGTAAGCCAGCCTTTGTGGGGTGCAACCAAGGTGGAAGTTGAGCCAGCTTTTGTGGGGTGTAACCAAGGCAGGAGATGACACAGCCGTTCATTAGATTAAGGAGGGAACATTTGTGCCTGTACAGCACTGGTTACTCAGAAGATGTAGTCTCAAGCAAGAACTTGAGGTGATTCCCACATTAAGGTTAGCCTAAACTCTCTTTCATAAGTGACCCCAATGATCACACTCACAGTGACAAGCTGTGCATGTCTGACCCTGGCACAGCATGCGGACTGAAGTTAGCTACGACCCACATAAGCTTTAGAGAGTTCATTAATTTTCCTTGTATCTTTGACCCCACACCCTCTGTATAAAATGAGAATAAACAGTATCCCCTTCTCTGGCTTGTAAGGCTGAGACATATGCGCCTTTGCTAGTTCAGAGCCCAAGGGCTTCTGAATTGGTCCTTAGAGTCCATGGGTGTTGCTAACCTTCTTTGAGGAATTTTGGCAAGGTAGGGCCAAGTTACTCAACTTGGAAGCAAAGGTAAGACTGGCATTCTAGGTTAGCGAAAGGAATGAGTGGCCCGCTCTGGTGATAGGGACTGAGAAGTGGGGTACCTGGACTTTCGTGAACATCCTGTTTGCCTTCTTTAGATTTTTTTCATCCCCATTTTTCAAGCTGGGCAGGAATGAGAACCCAGGTTTGGTCCCCAGTATCCGTGTGGAAAAGCCAGAGCTTGTAGCAGTGCATGCTGGTCATTGCACCCTGGGGAAGGGTGGACAGGAGGATCCCTGTCACTCACCTCCAGCTGGCCTAGCGGAAGTGGTGAGTCTCAGGTAAAACAGAGAAATCCTATATCAAAAATGAAGGTATAGAGTAACTGTGGAAGGCATCCAAAGTTAACCTCTGGCATCCACATGTACACACACACACACACACACACACACACACACACACATTGCACACGCATACTCAAACACACGCACATACACACGGTACCACCTCTCATTCCTGACTGATTACCTTCTCCAGGCCACCCCGCTTCCTCAAGAATTATTTAGAAAGTCATCTTGTATGAAAGGTGGGGCTCTTCCTGGAATTGGTGGCCTGGTCTCTTCCAGCTGAAGCTCTGCCATCAGGAAATCCCCAGTGGATGCACTTGTGGCTCAGAGCCTGGTCTGCGGGGCTCTGCAGAGAGAATGGAGACAGACCCAAGGGGGAGCTGTGTTGTCTAACCTGACAACAACCCGAGCTGTGGGATCCTCTGGACCAATTTTCCCTCCTTAGCTATCCTAGCCAGACAGCAAAATTGAGTAGAAAACTCAGTTGCTACAGTCTCCCAGTTAACGAACTAGAACCTTCTGAGGACTCAGGGTGGCAAGGACGGTCCCAGGGAGCCCATGGCAGCAGGACACAGGAATGCATACCATGGCCACAGGCCATATCAGGCACTTCATAGACCTCTGCACAGGTTATTGTTTCGAATGTAGGAATGGGGACTTAGAAAGAGTAGATGGCTTTTCCATCTACTAGGATGGCTTTTCTGTCCTAATACTAGGAGAGGGCAGTGGGAGTGAGCTCATGATGTGATCCTAGCCTTTGCCTGTTCAAATCAAGGTCCTAGCACCTAACAGCCCAGTTCTATGCAGTGCTATACATCAGAGTGAGTGGGGAAAAAATGTGGGAACTGTACCTTACAAAGATGTGTTCAGAAAAGTCCAGATGGTTACTGTGAAGAGTTAAAGAGAGTTGTGATTCCTTAGAGGCACCTTCACACATGGGAGGTACTGGTCACCAAGGCCCTAGACCAAGGGTTATGCCCAGTCAGACTACAAAGGCTTGAGATCCTCCTCTGCATTAGAAGTAACAAGTACCTTGATGTTTTAACACACCTCAGGCAGCAGCGATTTGGGAGCTCCACCAGGAAGCATGAAGTGTGAAGGCTTGACCCAGGGGAGCTACCCAAAGGTGGCCCTTTGAGACTGCCTCCTCTTGTTGGTCTGAGTCCTACAAACACGCCTCAGGACTCAGATAGGTATCTAGCCTCGCCCCAGCCCCCACGGAGGATGGAAACCAGGGTAGACCCTTTCTTCTGCCTGGGCACAGGGCCAAGCCGGCAGCAGGGGAAACTGTCGGGAACCACCCTATACATCGCCCCTGTGACTTCAGTTCCTGCGCACTTACATTCCTCTGCAACAACCTCACTGCAGAGGAAGCAGCAGTTGGGCTTTTGAAATTCCAGTCACCATCCATCACGTCTGTTTCTTCAAGAACATTTGTGAGCTTTCAGGTGCACATTCCCTTCACAGCCTCAATTCCTATACATTGTAACGTTCCCAGCCAGTGTTTCTTATGGACTTCAAGGTGGGAAACACACAAAGCAGCGGATAATTTCCCAGAATTATAGCTTAGAAAGTGAAGAGAGACCGGCCATGTAAACTGTTTCTCTAGAAGGAGAAAGGGAGCAGGGTGAGGTGGCGCACACACCTTTAATCCCAGTGCTCAGAGACGAGGCAGGTAGATCTCTAAGTTAGAGGCCATCGTGGTCTACAGAGTGAGTTTCAGCACAGCTAGGGTACACAGAGAACCACTGTCCGGAGAAAACTAAAAATAAATAAATAGAAAGAAAGAAAAGGAGAAGGGGAGGAAGAGGAGGAAGAGACATTAGGGCCAGGAGAGATGACAAGGGAAGACTGGCTCCCTGAGAGGAGCCCTGTGTGTCTCCCAGTGTGTCTCCTAAACCTACCTGATTGAGGGCAGACTTTGGAATCAGGCTAGCTAAGTTCAAATCCTAGGTCCCGAAACACAGTGACCTTAGGCAACGTATTTGGTCTCTTGTACAAATGTTTTGTTATTGCTGAGATGTGGATAGTCACAGCACCCTTGATTGTCCTGCTGTGGAGTGTGCGATGCATCTTAGGAATTTTGTTAGAGTTGAGCAACAGCAAGCCAACTAGACAGTCACAGCAGGTCACCCAGTCGATGCGGACATGCTTAACATTGTATGGTGTTCAAAGGTGTGTGGTGTTCATGGGAAAGGATGCCTCCCTATGTGTAGGGACCATCTGGGAAAACATCAAAGAAATGAAGGTTCTTCCCTGAGCCTAAGGGGGAGCTTGCTTTGTGTGGTATCCCAGGAGTCTCCCTGCAGACAGGAAGCAATGGGAAAGAAAAAAGCCATGTTAGGTCAAGGCAAGGGGAAAGCTAGGTTACTCGCTACTGAGTGGGAACTGATCCCATCCACAAAACGGACTATTCACCATGGATGGGTGGTGGAAAGCGTGGACTTGAGAAGAACCAAGGTAGTACTGTACAGACAGGCGAGAAGTATCCCAAAGCAGTGTGGCATCTGATTCTAGACAGTGCTTACGTGCTACCGAAGCTTTCTCTTCTATATGCATAGCAACCATTTGATCTTTGCAATGACCTACATTTATCCCCATGGTCTTGATACAAGAGAGCCATAGAGGTTCAATAACTTGTTTGAAGGCCACATCGCTATCTGATGGTGGAACTCAGACTGGAGCTTAGCATCAGTGGAGTGCTTGTTTGGGGGGAGGGGCATGTGCATGAGTGTGTGCATGGGACTGTGTGTGTGGAGTTCAGAGGAGGATGCTTGGTGCCCTGCTCAGTCACTCTCTGTCTTACTCCCCTGAGAGAGGAGCTCTCGCTGAACTTCTCGATGAAAAGCTAGGCTGGAAGCCAGCAGATCCCAGCTCTCCTCCTCTCTCTGCTCCCCTCTCTACTGGGGTTGGAAGTGTGTGAGGTCATGCCCAACTTATTACTGGGGTTCTGGCGATTGAACTCAGGTCCTCATGTTTGCACACTTGAATGCTTGGATGTTTGCACACTTGCGCAGCAAGCTCTTCTGTCCTCTGTGCTGGTGTGTTTCCAAACGCCACTTGGAGAGGAACTGGTTTATTTCATCTTTCAGCGTACAGTCCACCATCCAGAAAAGCCAAGGCAGAAACTTCAAGTCGAAACTGAAGCCAGGAGGGACACCGCTTCCTGCCTTGTTCCCTCTGCTGCCTTTCTTATATAGCACAGACTGACTGCCCAGGAATGGTCCCACCCATAGTGGGCTCAGACCTCCTACATCATGGCCATAGGCCTCAACTGATGGAGGAAAACCAAGAGCGGTCCCTGTCCAAGTCTTTGCGTTTAACCACTGTACATCATAATAACTCAGGTTTGCTTAGAACTCACCTCATACCATTTTGGAGTTCTCTTAAGCCTTGTAACGGTCCTATGATATTAACACTGTCCTTATTCCCATTTCACAGAAAAGGAAAGTGAGGCCCACTGAGTATCAGTAGCTTCCTTACAGCAGCAGAGCTAGAAAGAGGCCTAGGCACATATGCACACGGTCTGACCACAGAAGCCATCTGGAGTCTAGAAGGACGGGGCCTCGGAGGGAACTGTCATGTCTAAGTAGGCAGTGGTTAAGCAGCCTGAACAGCAGTAGAAATACTGCAGCCATCCAAGAGGAATGCTGGGAAAAGGTAGGGAGGTGGACTCATGTTACAGACCACTGGCCCAATTCAGGGCTCATGTCTCAGGTAGAGAGCACAGATCAGAGGAGTCTGGTGTCTGTTTCCAGACAGGGCTCGTAGACCAGAGGTGCCAACAGGCTCAGAAGCGGTGAGTTCTTCTGATGCTGGATCTAGGGTCTGGTGTATACAAACACCCTCCTGTGTGCCTTCCCCAGATCTTCACCTGTGCTCAGGTGTGATGGTGAGAGGCCTGTGAGTGGGAAGCCAAGGGGAGAGAGTTCCCCAGTATCCACTAACATCTTTCCAATTGTTCTTCCAGATTCTCCACGAACATGACCTAGCCGGGGAAGAGCCAGCGAGGCAGAAACGAGCAGGTTTGTGCGCTTCTTGCATGGAGTCCTTAATAAACCAACCAAATGGCATTTGCTGTAGCTCTACAATTGATCCTCCCAGTCTCTCATACAGGGTATGGGCCTGATGTCACCAGGCAAACATGCTATCTCCATCCCTTTTGTTATGTGTTTGTTTGTTTGTTTAATGCATGTATGCATGCGTGTGTATGTGTAGGTTAGAGGTGCCAGCCATCAGGAGCCAACCACCTTGTTTGCTGAGACAGCATTTCTTACTGGTCGGGAAGCACTCCCCCTCCCCGCCTCCAGCAGGCTAGGCTGGATGGCCAGCCAGAGTCCCAGAGATCTACCTGATTTTCCCTCTAGAGCATTAGGACAGCAGTGTGTGATAGCACCATGTCCAGGTTTGTAAACGTGGGTCCCGGGGATGGAACTCAGGTCCTAATGCTTACGCTAAGGGAAGTACTTCACCAATGGAGTAATTTCTCCAACTGTTTTAGTCAGAGTTCTATCGCTGTGAAGAGACACCATGACCATGGCAACTCTTATAAAGGAAAAGGTTTAACTGGGGCTGTCTTACATTTTAGAGGTTTACTCCATTGTCATCATGGCGAGAAGCATGGTGTCCCACAGGCAGACCAGATGCTTGAGAATATCTGAACATTCTATGTCCAGATCCGCAGGCAGCGTGCAGAAAGAGACACGGGGCCTGGCTTAAGCGTCTGACAACTCAAAGCCCACCCCCAGTGACAGACTTGCTCCCACAAAGCCACACCTCTTAATGGTGCCATTCTCTGTAGGCCTTTGGGGGCCATTTTTATTCAAACCTCCACACCAACGTTTGTGTGTATTTGTTTGTTGTTTATAAAGAGATTCTTGCTAAATTGCCCATGCTGGTCTTGAACTTGGGATCCTCCTGCCTCAACCTTCTAAGTGGCTGGGATTCCGGGTCTCCAAATTAGACTATGGGGCAGCTTTTTTAAAACCTTGTGTTCTTCATGATTCAGTCTCCCAGGAGCTCATGGGAACAGTCCTTTTCGTTTGCTAAAAGTAACTGTGAGGAACGCCATTTTCAACTTTATCAAACCATGTTAAGTGGCCACAGAGATGCCTTGCCACCCTTTCTTCCCATCCCCACCTTCTCAGCCTCCAGTTGCCCCCCAGTGCCACCTCCCTCCACAGCTCCATCCTCACCTTGTTTTAAACCCACCTGCCCCCTTCCCTCCCTTTGTCTGTCTTTCCCTTTCCTCTCGTCCATCTCTCCCTCTTGCTCTCTCCTTCCTTTCCCTTCCAGTTTATCCTTCACTTCATTCTCCCAATGGACTCTGATGTCCCCTCTGCTTCCTCCCCTGAAGCCAGCCTGTCGCTGCTGTGTTTGTAAACAAGCACAATGCCTCCCTCATCCCCTCAACCCTGTGGACTCCCCTGGGACAGGCACTGAGTCAGAGATGTGTCCATTTGTACTATAGAAGACTTTCATGGTTCACAATGGAGCCAGGTGTGGAGGAGTCCCAGCTCTGGGTTTCTACCAAGGTCCCCCAAGAGCAGCTGGTCTCCCGGCTCTCCTGAGCCTGGCTGTCTATCACTCCTGTGAGCCACATAAGGAGGTAGTTCCGGGGCAGGAAATACTCGCACATCTAGGGATTTGAACATTCCAAAATTTTTCCAGTCATGTTTTCACTCAAAACAATCGTGACAATGATAAGTCACCATGAACACATGTTTTCCGTTTATTATCCATGGTGCCCTGTGTTCTCGGGCCCCTAGCGTCAATGGGAGTGTGAAAGAATCAACCCATCCTCCGCAGATGATAGATTTGCCCTGGTACTTTTACAGAACCACCAAAGTAAGAAATAATCATAGAAAGTTCAGGTGCTGGGGCCTCGACGGTAGAACTGTAAGTTGCGATGAGAATGGGAGTCTCCAGCTAAGTGAAAGAAGCAGGCGGGGGAAGCTTTACAAACAGCCGTACCCCGGGCTGCCTGAGCCTGGCCTGCTGTGCTCTTCAAGGGAGGAGTTCGGGTGGGCGTTGGATTGTCAGGACGGAAAACCTGCTCTGCTACATGTGTGCCTCCCTTGCTGAGGCCATGATAGCAGAAGGTATGAAGGTTCTAGAGGGAATAAACTTGGCCATGAAGTTTTCATCTGCATCACTGGACCACATCTTTAACACTTTGCATAAATATCATCTTTCATACACACACACACACCATATATATATATATATATATACCATATATAATATATATACACCACATATATCATTTATATACCATATATATAATATATATACCATATATATTTCACATTCATGCCTCACTCCTCAATATCCATCATTAATGGATGAATCAATGTTTATATTTATTCTCAGGACATTACAAATGTCTACATATGTGACAAGTCAGATGCCCAGGCTCATTGTCCTCCTGAAATGTGTATTTGTGTGTATGTACACGTATGCCTACATATCATACATCACATGCATGTATCCATCATATACTTTATACATGGATCAGAGTTATTATATTTCAGGGCTTCAAGATGATTGAAGAACTTGTAAGACGTGGAGCTAACGAGACAGCTCAGTTGGTAAAGTTTTGCCACACAAGCATGTGACCTGAGTTGGATCCCCAGCATCCATATAGAAAGCCAGGTTGACTGGGGCCCACTTGTAATCCCAGCACGGGAGAATCCATGGGATTCACCAGCCTGCCAGCCTATCTGGGTAAATCCCAGGTCCCTGAAAGAGACACTTTCTCCAAAAACAAAGTGGACAGAATCCCAAGAAATCCAAGGCTGACCTCTGGCTTCTATATGTACACACATACATGCATGAACATGCCCATATACATACTCATACATGCATGAACATACACATAAACATGCTCACATATACACTCTTACACATACATACATGTATGAACATACTCACACACACACACATACATACATAAACACACATGCACACAGAATCCTCTATTTGAAGGGACATGATGTACCCCCAGCACAGAAAGGACGCTCAGTTGGCACCAGTCCCAGAGGATGGCCCGAAGGCATGAGTGTGATGCCATGACACACTAGCTGGCATTTCAGGAAAACGCTTTCCATGCAATTGTTGAGGAGTCTGCACAAACCCCAAGAACAAAGGCAAGAATATGGTTGGAGCTCCTTGAGAGAGCAAAGTGTGGTTTAAGAGAGAAAGAGGGGCAAGGATGGGAGAAAACACACAAGATTGTGTCACTATCACATCAGGAAGTAGGGTCCAGGACAGCTGGCATCAAGAAATGACGGAGGAAAACTGCCGAAAAGGATAATGATCCAGGTGGTCTTTGCTGAGCTACCTAGATAAAGCAGTCAGCTGACTGGTGGGAACTGGAAGGGCAGGGAGAGAGGAACCTGCGTGTGTGGAGCTCCTGGGCATGGTAGCATCCTCAAGCCTTCCATCCCGAGTGAAGCCCTTACTGGAGTGGGCAGGTCTCCTGACTTTGTATAGCCGTGACAGGTTGGTTGCATGGGCCCTTTGTGACCTGGGATCAGAACATAGTGTGCACTTCTAAGTCTGTTTCACAGAGCCTGGGGCTCAGAGCTGCACTCTGGGATAATGTGCTGTGTGATCTGTAAATAGCTTGGTGATGGGGTGAGAAGAAGGGCTGGGTTCTCTCTGCCTGATGTGGGGGCTGATGTAGGGCTCGGTTCAGTGTTTGACTCAGCATTGACTATCAATTGTGTTCTGACTTTGGTTTTCTTGTTTTTGTTTTCTTTTTAAAGTTCTGATTTTTTTTTGACCATTTAAAGTGTTAGATATGGTCAAATAAAGGTGAATTTTATTTTTACTACTGATACACATCATTATGTGTGTGTGCGCGCGTGTGTGTGCATGCATGCGTGTGTGTGCGTGCATGCGTGCGTGTGTGTATGTGTGCGTGCGTGCGTGCATGTGTGTGTGAGTGTGTGTATGTGTGTGTGCGCGTGTGCGTGCGTGCGTGTGTGTGTGTGTGTGTGTGTGTGTGTGTGTGTGTGAAATCATCAGCAGTGAAGAACCACTGCCCCACCACACAAGCTGCCTTCTCCTGGATGAGGCTGGCAGGTGTCCTTTTGCAGGCAGGAGATTCATTCATGCATCTACTTAAGTGCTGTTGCTGAGAAGCCTTAGTTCCCATCAGTTGCTAGGCAAAAATAGTATTGTTTGCTTAAACAGATGCGATTAAGACCCAGCACTGCTTGTGGCAGTTGGTGGCCAACTTTCCAGAAATGTCTCTTTCAGATAAGTGCTTCGAGGCTGGCAGTGACTTGTGGGAAAGGAGAGGGGAAATCCTGGTTAGTTAGTGTCTCCCGGGCCAGCGGATGGGCATCGTCTGACACCAGTGACACCTGGAATGTGTTACCTTCCACTCAGGGCAGTGTGAGCCAGAAAAATGCAGACAAACAACACAAAGGGTGAAGGATATGGAGACAAAGAAAATATAGGGAGCTGTCAGGAGGCAGCTGGTTCAGATGACAGAGGAGGGTGAGGGTCATCAAAGATACACACACGGAAGGATGGGGGCTGTGGTCTGGCCCCTCCAAGTACCCTGTAGCCAAGGGCATGACAAAGAATGTCCCTTTCCCAGGCTCCTAGGTCTTCGGGTTCATGAGGGGACAGAAAGGCAGAGTTTGGCCTTTTTTTGTTCTGTTTAAAATTGTTTTAGATTTATTTGTTTTATTTTTACGATCCTAAGTGTTTTTCCTTCATGCATGTGCACCTCACATGTCTACTGGAGCCTGCAGAGGTCACAGGAGAGCATGAGATGCCTGGAACCGTAGTTACACATGGGTGTGAGCCATCATGTGGGTGCCGGGATCCAAACCCAGGTCCTTGGCAGGGGCAGCGAATGCTCCTAAGCCCTGAGTCATCTCCAGACCCTTGAGTTTGACATTCCTAACCCAAGGCATTCCATCTGCCTGAGGGAAACAAGAGGATATCATACTGATGCCTGGGCTGCTAGGTGAGTTGTCTTATTTGCCCAGGCTCCTGGAGCCTGCATGCCATCCTCAGATCCGTGGAGAAAGGAATGGCCTGAGTGGGAGTCTTATGTTCGTCTAGGAAGCCCACAGGGCTGCAGCTCACTCAGAGCAGCCGTGGCCGTTTGCTCTTCCCAGAGCAATGTTCTTCTGATGACTTTCTCGTGCCTCTTTCTGCTCAGTCAAGTCTCTACTCCATGCGTGGAGCTTTGAGAATAGGTCTTTTCTAGCTGTCCTTCATCATCATCTTCTTCATCACCACCACCACCATCATCATCACCACCACCACCATCATCATCACCACCACCATCATCATCATCCTATTACCTCTGCCTCCTTCTTCTACCTCATGCAGAACAGTCTGACATTAAGATACAAACTGATCTGCTGAGGAGGGCAAGGAGGACAGGACTTTGCTTCTTCTTTTTTTTATTTTATTGATTTTTATTGAACTCTACATTTTTCTCTGCTCCCCTCCCTTCCTCTCCCCTTTCCCCTTCAACCCTCTCCCACGGTCCCCATGCTCCCAATTTACTCAGGAGATCTTGCTGGCTCCTATCACAGTGCTGGGAAGCAGGTACCCAGTGAAGGGCAAAGCTGCAGGAAAATCAGTAAATCGAGGAACAGACACATAACGTCTGCAAGGCTGATAGTCAAAAGCCGTTGTTCTGAGTTTGGATTTCTAAGACATTTATGGTGCTGACAGACTTGGAGAAAGTTTTCAAGACTGGCTCATTTACTATTAATAAGTTTGTTTTTGAACTTGACTTAAAAACAAGTAAGAATATTGATTTATTACAAGTCTGTGTTTAATAACAATCTATTTTATAGTACTTTATGGCTTTGTGAATGATTGCTTTTCTTATCTTCTATTAGAGTTGTAGCAGGGTGTGATTAAATGTGAGAAAATGGACTTTGGAGTCAGCAAACTGTCCTTTTTAATCTTAGCTCAGATATGACTCAGGTTTGCCACACAGAGCAGTGGAGGTAAGCATGGCGCTGTCACGGCCCTTTACCCTGCCAGACAAGAGCAAATGGCCACTGCCGTTGTTACTGTACTGCCTGTCTCCTCCTTCAGCTGCTATCACTGAATGGTGGGAGGAAGCCCGTGTCAGCTCTACTGAGGTAAAGGAGGGGGTTGGAGAGCTGGCTCAGCAGTTAGTAATGCTTGTTGATCTGCAGGAAGACCTCAGATCCATTCCCAGCACCCACATTACACAGCTCACAACTGCCTGAAATTCCTGCCCTGCAGGATCTGACTCCCATTTCCGATCTCCAAGGGCCCTGCATGTCCTTGGCATACCCAGGTTTAAGTAGATAGAAATAAGACGTAAAAATGCAAGAGGCTAAACGAAGTTAGCAAGGAGGTGCCTATTTGCCATCAGGAGCAACAGCGGATGACTGAACATAAAAACAAAACAACCCCAAAGCGAGTCTGTGAAAGTCAATTCTCCACGGCCATTGTCCTGGTTTCATCCTTTGGTTTAGAGTGTCCGAGCTCCAGCCCCCGGCACATCAGATCCCCAAAAGAAGAAGAATAGTGCTGATAGCCAGGCCTGCCTCTCTATCTAAAGAGTATGGTTTGCTTCACCCTGGTACGTAACCCCTTAGATGTGAGTCACTCTCAATCAAGGTCAGGAGTGGGTGACGGGAAAGCCTGGAGCTTACCCAATTGTAGTGGCGTGTCTGAGGCATCTTTAGGGAATTGACTTCTCAAAAAGAAACATTTCCAGCTAGGCCTAATGGCACACGCTGGAAATCCCAACACTTAGGAGGCCAGGGTAGAGGAAAAAGGAACATGAATTAGAGGCTAACCTAAGCTACGCAGTAAACTCCAGGCAAGCCTGGGCTTACAGCAAAACCACTTGAAAAAGAGGGGGAGGAGGAGGTGGAACTGTAGATTCCTGGTCCCCACCAGTCTCAAGGGAAGGGTGATGCAGAAGTCACCTAAGGGTGACTCTAAAGCTCCCTGGGCTTTGGAGAACACGGCAGGTGGACGGGAGAAGAGGACCGTAGCGGCTAGTACTAACAGCTGCGCGAATCCCAAAGGCTGACTCTCACTAAGTCTCAGGTCCTTTACTCCCAGGGCTTTGTGCCTTCGGTTCAGTCTTGTGAAAATCTAGACAGAACTGCCTTAGCTCTAACCAGGAGCGCTGTTCTTCATGGGTAGCTATTGCTTTGTGGGCCCACACTTGTTCTGCCATGGTGTCTGGAAGGGGCACAGGAAGGAGCACCCTCAGGTAGTTATCGGTGTCAGGGTGGGATAGAGTCACACAAGCAGCAAAGTCGATGATAGAGGATCATTGTTGACCCCATCCATCCAGAGCAGCCGCTGTCCAGGAAATCCTGTTTGCATTCCTGGGAGGACCCTGAGCTAGTGAATTTACCAGAGGGAATAAACATGGTCATATGACTTTTCAGGAAAAAGAATGTTCTGGAAGGCAGATGTAAACACTGTGCAGCTGCCCTCGTGGAAATGTTCCTCGTGGGCAAGATGGTGTCTGGAGTTAGAGTCATACGAGTTAAGAGAAGCTGCTCCTCCAGGAAGCTTATTTCATCACAGAACATTCGAGAATCAAAAACCAACCAACCAAACAAAAAACCCAGAAAACTTGAGACAGTATTACTATGTCATGATATACAAGACTAGATAATATAAGATTTTACAAGTAACTTTTAAATTTTAGTTTTTAAATGTTTAGTTTAGTTTAGATTTTGAGGCAAGGTCTCACAAATCCCAGATGAACCTCAAACTCACTGTGTATTTGAAGGTGGTATTGAACTCATGATCCTCCTGCCTCCACTGCCCAGGCAGCAGAATGACAATCTCATATCACCACAGCCAACATAAACCTCATCTGATTCTGCTTGTAAAAGGAGGAAATACGCCATTAAATGCGTCCCTAAAACACCTGCAGCGCAGTTCTTTAAAGGAATAATGATTTCATTACATTAGTGGTGCCCAAAGAAAATAATTTCCAGCAAGGCTGTATCCTAAGACCAGTGGATTTTATTCCTCCAAAGAAACATCCATTCTAGCTTCCAGGAATAGGCATTTAACCACTGGAGATTTCGTTTTCTACTCTGAACTTTCTCAGTGTTTCGCAGCAATGGTCCTCGGGGTGGTTGAAATAAACTTTCTGATTTCACAGGAAAGCAATTGTCTTTAGGAAGAAGACACAGACTTCATGTTAAAATACAGATCATGTTATATGATTTCATTTACATTTTAAAGAATGGTTTTAAAGTATTCATTCATTTCTTTACCTATTTAAAATATTCTCCATACCTCTCTGTGCAAAGAAATCTTATCCTTCAAACTTTTTCGGGAGGTAGTGGCTGAGCCCTTCAGCCGCGGGCGTGTATTCCAACAGGCTAGAGCAATAGTCAGTCCAGTGGAGCGAACATACGACTTGACGTTGGGGCCAGGTTTAGTAAGAAGTGATCGGGCACATGTTTGTCATATAGCGAGCTCCAGGACAGGTGAGTGAGGTCACCAGAAGGGAAGGAATCAGTTTCTGTCCCAGAAGCTTACAATTGGTGGTCAGGATATGGTGTGGCTTTGGAACCTGGAGAAGAACCATTCAAAGGTTAGATAACATATCTGTAGCCTGCTGGTGTGTGTGTGTGTGTGTGTGTGTGTGTGTGTGTGTGTGTGTGTGTGTTTGGAGCACATTTATTTGGAGAACCGGCATTTGCCCACCTGGAGACAATCTGAAAAAACAACGAAGACCTGGGAATCTTTTGCATGTCATTTTTCAAGTCACCAAACCTTTGCCGACTGCCATTCAAGTTCGGGATCCTGGGGATGTGAAGCAACAATAAAGAACCCACTGTGTGCCTGTGTACAAGCTAAGGCCAAAGAAACTTAACAGGGAGGGGCAATGCTAGAAGTTTTTCAAGCATGTGTGCATCCCTGTTCAGCAGTTAGAGCGTGTGCAAACTAACTACACAATGTTATAAAGTCCGCAACTCATTCCTGCGGGTGGAGATCACAACTCTGACTCACTACACAGGTGTGTTGCACAGGTGTGAGAGCCTTCCTTCCAGGCCGCTACTACTAGTCTTGCCCCAGGCATATTTTACTCTCCACGCGTGGCCTTTGACCTTGGACTTCAAAGTTGAGGGTAGTGGTTGGGAATGAGTAACGTGGCCTTTGACCTTGGACTTCAAAGTTGAGGGTAGTGGTTGGGAATGAGTAATGTAGACAAAGTTTTCATTTTCTCTCAAAGTATCCATTAGTAATTCTAATGGGCTGATGTGCCCACTATCTACAAGAATGTGCCACTAGCTTTCCTTGCTGTGGTGTCCACAGGATCTTTCTCCTGCCTCCACGAACGCTCATATTCTTCGTGAAACTATCGTTTCAGTTGCAGTGGGTGGTCCCGCGGAGGAAGAATACACCGTAGATGTTGAGATCAGTTTTGAAAACATCTCCTTCCTGGAGTCCGTCAAGGCTCACTTGAACAGCCTCAGTTTTCCAATTCAAGGAAACGGCACAGACCCAGCCACGGACATCATGAGCATAGCAATGACAACAGGTGAGCCAGACACACACTGCTTGAGGGTGGATGGCTGGGCATATTGTGAGAAAGGCAGACTGCTGTCCTCTGAGTCAGATTAAAACATGGGAGCCAAGTGTAATGACTGTGTGACTTTAGGACCCCCTACCTCCCAGAATAAACTTGCTAGCAGTAAATTTCCCAGCCAGTCGTCACCTTATTTTGAATGATGACCAGAGATTTCCTTGGTGGTTATGATAAAGTGACGCCCCCCCCCCCCAAGGTATGGACAGACCCTTCCGGACAAACTACCGGATCCTTTCCCTCTGAACAATGTGTGGGTGCAGCGAGGAGGGTCTCAGTACATTAAAAGTAGTGACTTCTTTTCTTTGGGGTATCATAGGTCAGGAAATAGGAGCTAGGCACATACCTGAATCAGAAGCAAGACCTTAAGCAAAATTCTCCCAAGTCATGATTTGACTTTGTGTTTGAGGACTCCCTACTGAATTGAAACTGTTTCTCATTTGTCTCAGAGGACCATCCCCAAAGAACCAGTGTCCCATAGATGAGGCTGCCCTGTGTCCTATAATAGTTCTGTTCTTTGGAAAGCACCGTTGTAACTTGGTACCCGTTTAGTGACTTTTCTCTGAGTAACATCCCATGGGCACCCGTCTCCAGAGCGTCTTCCAAAGAATCTCTTTGTTCCTACTTTAGACCCTGATTTAAAGGTCTCCGTTTTCAGAGGTATTTTTCCCTTCCTTTTTTAGTGTCTCCAGTGAGATCGGAGTCCATTTGAGTTGTTCTTTTGATGTGAAATGTAAAGGCCATTGATTTGCATTCTGCATTTAGTGTTTATTTCAGTGTAACAGATTGCTTTTAGCACTATAGAACAACACACACACACTATCTTGAAGTTTCTGAGGGTCTGACATCTTGGAGTAGGAGCCGGGGTGGGTGATTCTAGCATAGGAACTCTGATCTGAAGGCCCTGCTGGGCTGGAAAATCCACTTTCTCGTTCAGCGGGTGAGTTTTGGCTAACTATAGTTCCCAAGTAACTACTGTTTAGAGATCTTAATTCTTTACCATATGGTCTCTTCCTGACAGATCTTGGCACCATGCAGCTAACTTCTCCGGAGAAAAAGACAGAGAGGGAAGGAGAAGGAGTGGGGAGAGAAAGAACATGCTAAATGATACTATCACTTTTACTGTGTTCTATAAGTGGGTGCCATAAAAGGCTGTGAATTCCTAGAGGCAGAGATGCTCAAAGGTCATCTTGGAAGCTGGCTGCTTCTTCCTCTGTATCAGTGATTCTTAACCTTCCTAACGCTGCGACCCTTTAATACAGTTCCTTATATTGTAGTGACCCCCAACCATCAAATTATTTTTGTTGCTATTTCATAACTATAATTTTGATACTGTTATGATTTATAATGTATTTTTTAAAAAAAAATAAAATTTGGAGCTAGAGGTTTGAGTAAGTGGTCATGACCCACAGGTTGAGAACCACTGCTCTTCAGTGAGAGATCCACTCACCATAGACACCTAGTGGCCGTGTAATATAAAACATGTCTCTCCAAAAATAAATTTCGCTAATATGAAGGCACTCAAGCATCACCTTTCAGATGACCTCACCTAATGGTTTCGTGATGCATATATGCCTTCTTGAATCTCACGAGATTCTATTGAACTCTCCAGAAGGTCAATGTGGAACTGAGCTAAGATTTCCTGCAAGTATAGACAGTTGCAATCTACAAATGTGAGGGCGGTGACTGTCTTGTCTCTCCTCTTTTGGTTGACGGCAGTCTGCACACCTGCTGGAAATGACCTCTTGTGCTCCTGCGAGAAAGGCTATGTGTGGCCCCGGGAAAAGTGTCTCCACAGTCTAACTTGTCAAGAGCATGAAGGTGCCCTGTCAGGCCGCTCCTGCAGTTGTCTGAAAGGACTTCCTCCCCAGGGACCTTTCTGCCAGCTCTCTGATGGTATGCAATTGTTCTTTAAATACCTGTTAAATGAGTATTCAACTTTACCTCAAGCAAATGTCTCTTTGTATTGTCTGTATTCAAACACCAATGAGACAGTTACATTTTGCCCTGTTGTTTTTTCAGCATATATTACCTTAAAAATCAAAGTCAGACTGAACATAGGATTTCAAGAAGACCTCAAGAATTCGTCCTCTGCCCTCTATAGGTCCTACAAGACCGACCTGGAAAGAGCGGTAGGTCTGAGCTGCTGGAGTCGTTTACCCAAGGAGGTGTTTAGGTGGAGCAAGAGAAGCCCGTTCCGGGGGACAGGGTGCTTACATGTGTGTAATCTAAGTGTAAGTGAAGTTATGCAAACCCACCTGAGAAGGGGCATTGAGAAGTACTCAAATCAAAGAGCATTCAGAGGACAAGACATCACCTTGGCCTATCAGTTGACCCTCTTCCATGAGTAAAAACAATTCAGACAAGGTTTGGTGATATCACTTCACCAAATCAATTCCAAGGCTTGGGAGCCTGGTCCAGGAGAGGTAGGTAGGTAGCTCAGGTCTGTTCTTCAGGCATTCTAGAATTATCTTGTCTTGTATAGCTCAGAACACTCTACCTAGTGGACGGCACTGCCCCCCAAATGGGCAGGGATTTCCGACGTAGATAAGGATCCTCCCTGGGCAGTCCAACACAAGGCTTCAAGCCTGAAGTCCAACTTCGAACTCAGAGAGTTTCCAACTTCTCTACCCCTGGAAGTCAGTAGGCATTCACGCTAGGAGCAGTTTATAGTGACTGAGCTAAAAACAGAGAAATCTTTGCGAGTGGTAACTGTCTCTCAGCTGCAATTGTTCTATCTCTGTCTCTCTCCCCTCACAGCCCCTTTACCTTCTCTCCTGCATTTCTCTGAGCACCTTTTTGTGCACTTAATCTACTGTTTGCTTCTGTAATAACTGATATAAATTATTAGAAATTACTTCAAGTCCCTGACAATACCACCACTAACAAGATACATAAAACAAAGTCGGACCCAGGTTGATAATGAATATGTGTAAACATTGGTATTGTTCACTAGTCTTTGATACATGACCTCTCTCTTGTTTTATTTTCTAGTTCCGGGAGGGTTACAAAACTTTACCAGGATTCAGATCGGTGACTGTGACACACTTCACGTAAGAATGATGTCATTTGTTCATTTTTCTATGAGGGCAGAAACCAATCCACCAGGGAAGAAAATCAAATATCCTAGGGCTATCATTGGGGGGTGCTCGGCAGGAGCCGCTTGATAGAGGTGAGAATACAGTGGCGTCCTTTACAGATGGACCTCCTTAGCAGCAAGAAAACACAAAGGTGTGCTCATTTCATGCATGCAAGCATTTCGCAGACCGAAATACATCCATAGTTCTGAGAGTTGGAAATGTCAAAGCGGAATCATAATGGATAGCAGTGTTAAAGACACTGCTAGGAGATTGTGCTAGGCAGACAGGATTGCAGGGTTTTCTGGTGCGCCTGGAGCCTAGAAACCTTGAGGGTTCAGCTCACTGTTCCCATCTGGTCACTCTTCTCATTTGTATTCCTGGTAAATCTTGCCTTGGGCTACCGATTAACATTTGAAGACGGGCTTATTTTAGTGATTCCTTGCAGATAATAGTACTATTGGCTTCTGCTCTTTTGCTTTTCCATGCAAAGAGCCTCAAGGATCTAGCCCCTCCTAACTCAGTTACTGCTTCACTGAGCTGAGTGGTCTCTCTGCAGCAAAGGCAGCGTGGTTGTGAACTTCGAGGCCCAGTTTGGATCGCCACCGCTGCCTGGATCAATTCCTAAAGCCAACGAGCAGGTCACACAGAACCTCAACCAGACATACAAACTGGACTACAGCTCCTTCCAAGGAACGCCGAGCAGTAAGTGGAATGTGCTTCATCCTCACACATGTTCATCTGGGATAGGCATGGTGATGGTTGGTTCGACCCAGGGCAGAGGTTCTCGCGTGGCCGTGTGTGCCACCACACTCTTCACAACATCAAGGGAGTGGTTGTGTCAACAAATAAGCAGGGAATGAAAGCTCGTACAACGGAACTTTTCTAGGCTGTCAAGAAAGATAAAATTAGCCGGGCGGTGGTGGCGCACGCGTTTAATCCCAGCACTTGGGAGGCAGGGGCAGGAGGATCTCTGTGAGTTCGAGGCCAGCCTGATCTACAAGAGCTAGTTCCAGGACAGGTTCCAAAAGCTACAGAGAAACCCTGTCTCAGAAAAAAAAAAAAGAAAAAATTATGAAAATTCCAGGACAATAGATGAGTCTAGAAAATACGAAGCCAGGTGAACCCGACTCAGAAAAACAAAAATTGCATGTCATGTTCCCTCTTCTATGTAGATTTTTAACTGTTACTGTGTGACAGTAGCAAAGGGGAGCTCCCAGGGTGGAAGTGGAGGGTGAAAGGGAGGTTCAGAACAAGAGATGGAACAAAATAAATTATTGCTAAAATGTTGTAACAGACCAGACATGGTGGTGCACACTTTTAATCCCAGCACTCGGGAGGCAGAGGCAGGAGAATCTCTGTGAGTTCAAGGCCAGCCTGATCTGCAGAGCAAGTACCAAGACAGTCAGGGTTTCATAGAGAAATCCTGTCTTGAAACAAACAAAAAACCTGCTATAATGAAATAGACTACTATGTATACGAAAAGAAGATAAATAAATGAGGGAGAGGATGAAGGCCCAGGAAATCGTGGTGATATTTCTTATGACAGAGGCCTGGCGCACTGGGGGACATCTGCCCCTTTTTGACTAACATACAAAAGCCGGTGAGTCAGGGAGCTGGGAACAGGGATTTATAATAGAAATTCTGTGAGTTTCCTATGTTCAGATATTCACAAAATCCATAAATGCAAGGCTAACCCAGCAGTGATGGTGGCCATAGTCACAGCAGATCTGACACTAAGTAGGGTCCATTGTTGATTTAGAGGGTGGGTCTCAGAGCTCATCTGTCCCACACTAGCCCTACAAAGACCCATCTGTATCTCACCAGCGTCTCAACCCCGGATGGTTCTGATGCAAGGGGAGGCTTCCAAACTGCTGCTCCAGATCATTTAAAACAGTGGTAGGAAATACATGACTTACTCTGTCTGGTGCCTCAGTAGGCAATGGGACCATTGTTACTCAAGGAGTGGTAAGGGGAGCCTATGGGCAGGACTGTGACCGGCAGATGCTGAGAAGAGTCCTCAAGAATCCCGGAGAGGCATAGTCTGGAGAGCTGGTTCCACAGTTCACATTCACTGAAGTGGAACCCTCCCACTTTTCCTTTGAATTTCCAGATGAAACGAAGTTCACGGTTACACCGGAAGTCATCTTTGAGGGGGACAGGGTAGTTCTGGAGTGTGAAAGTGAAATCTTGTCCTCCAACGCGTCTTGGTATTACGGAGAGAAACGCTCCGAGATCCAGAACCACGGTAGATTCTCCATCCAAACCTCGGTCCTCAACATGAGCTTGGTCTCGCGCCTCACCATTTATAACTTCACGAAGCAGGATGCCGGTGAGCTTCCGACCTGAGACTGGGGGTGGAACTCAATGGTGTGCTCAGAGCGGCAGCCCACAGCACAGGGAATGGGGCTGAGCTGCCCACAAGAAGCCTGATGACTCATGTTCCAAACTGGAAAAGTTGTCCCCTTCTATTCCTGTGTATTTGTATGGATGCAAATGTGTGAGTGTTTGCATATCTACCTGGATGCCCTACTGGTCGGAGGTTGAAGTGTACCATGGTCCGGCAGCTCTCTCCAAGCTCGGCAACATGGGTGACGTGAATAACTCCTTCCCCTGGCCCTGTTCTCGGCTTGACCTTATTTGGAGAGCGTCTCTAGGCCAAGATACCTGGCTATCTCTAGTATGACCCTGGACACAGTTCCCTGCAGAAGCTTTCCCTCTGCTGCTTATATGGTAATTAGACATTGAGACTTGCCGTAGGACCATGCTCCATAGATGATAACTAAAGGTTGTACTGGGAGCTTAATATAGGAGTGCACCGTTTAATACAAATTCGGTGATTGTCCAGTCATCGACCCCAATCCTGCCTATTCCCTGCACTCTGGAGTAAAGTTGAGCAGATTCGCTGAAGCTGTCTCCTGGAGAGCTGTCTTCATCGTGCTCACAGGCTGTGCAGGGTTCTCTGTCATCGCTTCTGCCCCTTGTCCTCATAGACTGGTGGCCAACAGGCCTTGAGGAAAAGGGAATCCCCCCACACACACACACACACATCCACAAGAGGCCAGACTTCAGAGTGTCTTTCTTCATTGCGCCCCACCTTGGTGTTGGAGACAGGGACTCTCACTGAAGAGACCCAGCAGTCTGTTCGGCAGTGAGATCTGGCGGCCCACCTGTCTCCACCTTTAGAGCTGCAGATGCACACCACCATTTCCATCTTTTCATGTGGGCTCCAGGGTCTGGGCTCAGATCCTCATGCCTGCACAGCAGACCAGGGACCGTCTTCCCAGTGACCCAGGATACTATTTTTAATGGCATTGAAAAATCTACTGATATAGTTTGAATTTTACTAGTGTGTAGTATAGTTTTCTGATGTTTTATTTTAATTAACCTATAAAATTTTAGTTTGCTGAGAGAAAATTGGCATATTACATACTGCATGTATTTTAAGTATCTAATTTACTAGGTTTGGACACATACCCTTGAGAAGGCATCACCAAAATAAGGGTGGTAAATACATCCAGCCTCTCAAAATGCTCTTGTTCCCTAAAGCAGTCTCTCCCTTTTGGCCTTTCCTGCACCCATGTGCCTACTCCAAGCAACCACAAAAACAGAAATTTCAGAGATTAACAATGAGCCTGACACATTCTAGTATTTAATAACTCCAGTTAAAAACAGATGTCAGTAGGACCAATTCTGTTTTTCCAAACCAGTAGGGCCAATTCTGAACAATAAAGAGGTCTATACATGCATGAACTCTTGTCACATCTGTGCAGATTCTGAATTTTATCACAGGATTAAATAGCATGCCAGAATTATCTGTGGTCCTCCAATTCTCACAGACTTAACCAATTTTGTTTTCCTGTGTCTTATATTCCCACACCTGTCCCTGAGAATGCAGCGACAGAGACCTTTGTCTACTTTTTACCTTATGTCATTAGAAACGTCTGATTGACTCGACAGTTTCTGAATATTCCTTTAGGGGTGTCCTTGAATCAAGTCTGAGATGCCATGATACATGAGGTGCACAATTTTATTAAGAAAAATTCATAGGAGTGATAATAATTCATAATCTTGTGAATTCTTTACAGGTGAATATCGTTGCAAGCTGACACTGGATATTTTTGAATATGGGGACGCCAGAAGACTGGATGTCACTCCTATCCGGATCCTGGCCAAGGAAGAGAGGAAGGTGGTGTGTGACAGCAACCCTATCTCGTTGAACTGCTGCAGTGAGAACATAGCAAACTGGAGCAAAATTGAGTGGAAGCAGGAGGGGAAAATAAAAATTCTAGGTAAGAATGGCAGTTCAATACCTATGGCAAAGAGGGCTCTTTGCTTACCTCTCAGCCAAAAACAAAAACAAAACAAAACAAACAAAAAACCCGAGCTATTCTGGACCATAAACAAACAAACAAACAAAAATAACTAGGTTTTGATTCCAGCACCAGCCTAGACACTCTAAAACAAACCTCCAAAAATACTTGCATGCAAACATCACGCTTGCGCCGTGGGTGAGATCCTAGCAGATAAAGACGTGAGAGGAAGTGACCTCAGTGACTTGGGTCCATAGCATGGCTCATCCTCCCTCTCCTTTCCCCCTCAGCGGAAAGCTACAGCTGAGGAGGCTGACCGGAGCGTCTCATCTTTGTCCCTGTGTGGACTCACTCCTTTACACACTTTCTTCAGCTTTCTCTCTCTCTCTCTCTCTCTCTCTCTTTCTGATTCCAGCTTGCTTTTCTATGCAGACTTATTTCTCTTTCACTTACTACATGTCAGTTTTTACTCATTAATTTTTTTGCATGTGTATGCATGTCGTATGTGTTTGCATGTGTTGGGCCAAACAGTATGGGGGTACAAATGTATAAAGGGCAGGGGTTGACACTGAGCTTCCTCCTTGGTTGCTTTCTTTCTTTAACCCAGATCAGGAATTTTGCTAGTGTAGCTAGCCTGACTGATCCAGGGATCTCCCATCTCCCTTCTGCAGGCTGGGATTTTGCAGGCTGCTGTATTTATATGGATATTGGAGACCTGACTCGTCCTCACGCATGTATGAAAGTGTTTTACCCGCTGGTCCGTCTTCCCAATTCTGCTTTTGTTTTGCACTGAGATCTTACCTGAAGATCCTCACCCTCCAGTTTATGCTAGACAATAAAGAAAAGCAGTAATGGTGTCTAAAGACATGCATCCGTCAGCAAGGCATTTGTTGTTCTTGCAGAGGACCAGGGTTTGGTTTCCAGTACCCACACTGCAACCATCTGCAACCCCAGTTCTTAGGGTTCTAATAACTGACCTCCTTGGGCAACACGTACACATATGGTGCACATATGCACATGCAGGCAAAACACTCAGGCACATAGCATAAAATAAATCTTTTAGAAAATTAAACTAGAAATAGTGACTTTATAACAACTTTGCACAAATGTTAGCCCCTTTAAAATGATTGCAGGTGATCACATCTAAACTTGATCACAAGTTTGAAGTTAGTAGTTTTACTTCCAATGGGAAAATAAGGAAATTAGGATCCAGATTAAATTGCTTTCCCAAGTTATCACAATATGAAAAGAAAAAATTAGGACTCTCCACTGATCTCAGTTCATGGGACCAGCACTTTCTCCATCCAGTGAGCCGGCTTTGGACCTAGTTGCTGGCAGGTTAGATACACAAGCACCATTTGCTATTTAGAGACCATATGAGACCACAGTCATCTCTTCTTTTAAGAAGCAATAATATTATGTATGAGCATTTAAAGAAAAAAATCTTTGAACTAAAATGGAGCTCTGCACACTTTGTGAGTGTGCTACATGTTTCTGTTACAAAGTCTTTGCCCTTAAGACTAAGCTGTGTCATTATTACTAGCTTAATTTGAAAACGTCAATCTCCACCCACACTTTCCTGAGAACCTCTAGTTTATAAAGCACATTTCACCTACAGCATCTGATTAGACCGTCAAAGACTGAGAAAGACATCTGGTAAACCTGAAAACTGTCGGCAGGGGACATTTAGTCATTTCCCTGGTTTATAAGGAAAAGGTGGCACAGGCATCCTGAGGGCGCTGCCAGATGGAGGAGAGGCCTTGCACAATTCCCATGGCTCTGGTGGAGGAGCTTTCAACCCAGAAGGTGACAAGACCTCGCCCTCTGGCAGAGAAACCAGGAAGTCTGCAGTGGGATGCTCGGGGACCTCTCTCTCTGGTGACCCCTTTGCAGACTTTCCTAAGTCCAGCAAGGTTGACCAGCCTACAGAACAATGGATTTCCTGTATAGCTTGTTATCCTCCCACCCTGACCCCAGCCCTGGCCCCCAAAGCAGCTTGATGGGGTGCTAAGTTCTGCAGTGAGGATTGCTGGTTTATATACCTGCAACACACTGACAGCCTCACGTCACACCACAGCCCTGATTGCTTTTAAAATCCTACTTGTCTTTTGAAGCTTAGAATAACTTCCTCTCCTCTGATATCCTTCATAGACACCCATATGAAATGACCTCCCTCCCCACTTTTAACCTGCCTGCTGTACTGAATTTTCTTTTGCGGGACCTGTTGTTGATACATTCCTATTGTTCTGTCTATTTCTATATACATCTCATTCGGCATGGTTCGTTACCTTACCCATTGGGTGAGAAGGCTGGACTTTTAGGGATGAGTTACATTCAGCAGGAAGAGGAAGGGGAAGTATGACTGCAAACACCGGCAGCCAGGTCCCAGGCTGAAGGGTGTGTTGAAAGCCAGGGTGTGGTTTGGGTTTGGAGAAGATGAAGAGGCAGGTTTCAAGGAGAAGGGCAGATTAGGGCATATTGTGTGATAAATGTTGCTACCATCTAGGGGTCTGAATCAGGTTCGTTTCATCTGCCAATTAAAGAATTTAAAGGCACAAAAAAGTATCAAGGGCAAAGGCCAGCAATGGGAGAAATCTCCAGGATGACAGAAGAATCCGCAGCTGAAGAAGGCTCTCATGAGGGGCGAAGCAACACACTCAATAAGGCCCATCTAGAGAGAGCAAGACAAAGACTTCTGCAAAGCAAAGGAGGGTTTAGGGAGACTAAAACCAGGTTTCTCCTCACTGAGGTTTTAAGGGTCTTTGAGGGTTTTTTCTTCTTCAATTTAGGGCTTGTCGTTTGCAACGAAGACAAGGAGGTCAGGTAGACTCACAAGTGTGGAGATGTATTTATGCTGTAATGCAGCCCTGGACTTGCCGAGCTGGTCTGTTAGTTGGGGTGGAGAAACCCACTAGGTCTTTGTTTTGAGATGCCAGGCTTTTGTCTCAAGGAAGAAGGGCGGGGAAGCTTGCCGTCTCTGTTGTCTGTATGTCCTCTTCCTATCTGTCTGCCTGCTAGGGATCTGTCTAACTCCTAGTCCACAGCGCCACACACTGAGGAGAACATCTGACTTTACTGTACACACAAGTACGTTAGACGATCAGGGCTTTAGAAAACTAAACATTCCCAGGCGTCCTGTGTACTTGATGCACAGGAGACTGCGGCAGGAGAATCACAAGTCAAAGGCCAGCCTGAGCTACACAGCAAATTCAAAGTAACCTTGATTTATATAGTGAGACCTTGTTTTACAACCGCAAACAAGTCAACTACAAAAAGAAAATGAAACTTGTAGGTGGCATAGTGAGTAAGTTGAAGACGAAATTAACTGAGAATTGAGACCCAGATGTAATCAGTTGCAAAGTTCAGACAACAAACAGCGGGGCCTGGGAGAGTGACCTTGCTTTGATGGAGGCAGCCTTGTTTCAGTCGCTTAAGCTCAAAGAGAATTTTTTTTTTTACCAGTGGGTGGAAGTACAATGTGAGGAAGTGCAGGTAATTAAAGTGGCCTTTAAGATTTTTAATTTGTGTTTCTGCCAATATCAGTAAGAGGAAGCACTGGATGTGTGAGTTTTGTCTGGGGGAAAAATAAATAAATTGCATGTGTTGAGTTTGAGGTAACAGAGATGTCAAATCAACACTTGAGAATTTGCCTCAGAAGTTTCCAGCCAGGATATTCCTCTTAGAGTAGTGTGGGAAGTCATCCAATCTCAGTTTATGACAGGAGCCAAAGTTGTGATGTTGCTGAAGGAAAGAGAAAACGAGCAACAGCGAAGTGGGGCGGAGGGCGCTGGGCCAAGGACCAAGCAGGGAGCATCTATGCATTTAAGAAGGATGCTCGGATAGGGCCTTAGAAAGGAGACCCAGGAGGATGCGGGGAAAAATGATAAAGGACAGACCCAAGGCTCAAGCAGCCACAGCAGGTGGCTGGCAGTCAGGAGGGTGTAGTACAGATTGTGTGGTGAAGAGCCCAGGATGGAGGAAAGAGGACGTTCCTGTTGGTCTTCTGGAAATACTTCTGCTGTAAAGAGTGACAAACGTCAGTTTCAAAAGTGTAAAGTGGAATTGGGAAGCCAGAGATAACAAATGCAGAAACATCATGAAAATTAGGGGTGTAAGGAGGGAGAGGGCCTCTCACATGGACAGACTTGGCCAATGATTTGACTCCTGTCTAAGGGCAATCTTTTAAATTTCTACAGTCAGTCAACCTTATAGAACCCTAATGCAGATGTGGCTTTCTTCTGAGAACTCAGCTCAAGAAAACATGAGCAGAGAGAGGATGTCTTCAGAGAATTAGCAGTGATTTTTGTCAACATGAAACAGAGAGTAAATGGGCAGAGTTACTCCAACAGACAGAGTTACTTCCTTCCCTTGGGTAGGAAGATGGTTGTAGGAGCCGCTTTTCTGCCTCCCTGCTAGAATAACCGGAGAAGAAACCAAGTTGTAGAAGCCACGGCTTATTTCTAGCTTACAGTTCCAGGGCAGACACCGTCCACCAGGATGGGGAGGGCCTGGAGGTCAGGTGTGCTCATGTTTCATCCACTCACAGCGAGAACAGGAAGTGTGGCCAGGCTGTGAAAGCTTAGAGCCAGCCCACAGTAATTCACTTCTTCAGCAAGTTCCCACATCCTAAAGGTTCTGCAATCTTCCCAGAGAGCGGTGTTAACTGGGGACTAAGTCATCAAACATATGGTCCAATGGGGGACATTTGTCATTCAAACCCCAACACTGGTCGTATGTCAATCAAAATAATAAAGGCATCTGTCTAGGGTGACTACTGACGTATTGAAACTCCATGACCAAAGCACCTGGAGGAGAAAAGGGTTTACTATGCTCACAGTTTCATATAACAGTTCACCATCAAAAGCAGTGAGGGCAGGACCTCAAGCAGGACAGGAGCCTGGAGGCAGGAGATGATGCAGAGGCCATAGAGGGATGCTGCTCAATGGCTTGCTCCTCATGGTTTCCTCAGTTTCCTTTCATGTAGATAGAACCCAGGACCACCAGCCCAGGGATGGTACTACCCACAATGGGCTGACCCTCTCACATGTATCACTAATTAAGAAAATGCTTTACACCAGATCTTATGATGGTATTTTTTCAACTGGGGCTCCCTTCTCATTGACGACCCTCACTTGTGTCCAGTTGACATAAAACTAGCCAGCACAGCACAGCTGACCAGCTACAGCGGAAAGAGTGGATTTATTTGGACACTATCCCATCAGCTTACTCTGTGTCTTTCACTTTGGGAGGGTGTAAATGTTTAGGGAATGTCTGAGGACTGCAGTAGCAGGCGAAGTGGGCAGGTTGAAAATGGAGACTGGAGTGGTACAGGAGAATTGTCTGTATTCTGTCAATCATGTTTTAAAATAAATGCTGATTGGCCAGGCAGGAGGTATAGGTGGGAAAACCAGACAAGAAGTGGAAATGATGCAAGGAGAGCAGGAGAATTCTGGGGAGGAGGAAGTCCATTCCTCCTACTCCTGCCTGCACCACCAAAGCAGCAGGATGTGAGCTGTCCCACTGAAAAAGGTACTGAGCCACATGGCTAAAATAGATCAGAAAAATGGGTTAATCAAGATGTGAAAGTTAGCCAGTAAGAGGCTAGAGATAATGGACCAATCAGCATTATAACTTGCGGAGTCCTCTGTGTGGGTGATTTTCTCTGGGACTAAACAATTGTGGGGACCTGGTAGGAGGACAGAAAACTCAAATAACAAACAGGCCCCCTCATGTTACACCGGAGTGGGAAAAATCATACACAGGGTTGTTCTAGAACCCCAGGGACGATGGTTTGGAGGGTGGGTTGCTTCTGAGAGTGGAAACGATGATTTTGGAAATATAAAGCTGCCAGCAACTGAAAGAGTAAGAAGCTGAAGTTTCCACTACAAATCTGGCTACTAATTCAGAGTCAGACAACCGTGACGTCGACAGATCTGTTTGTGTCGTTTCAGGGATCCCAGAAACAGACCTAGACTCTAGCTGCAGCACTTACACCCTCAAGGCAGATGGAACCCAGTGTCCCAGCGGGTCTTCTGGAACAACAGTCACCTACACGTGTGAGTTCGTCAGTCCCTACGGAGCCAGAGGCAGTAAGAACATAGCTGTGACCTTCGTCTCTGTAGGTAAGAACTCTTGCCGTAGACGGTTCAGACAGATGTAGGGTACCCTTGCCAATCAACTGGGGTCACCAGTGGGCTAAATAAATCTGAGCTTTCACTGGGAGTGGGATGGTGGTCAGATGTCCCTCTATGCCATTTCAAGTCAGATGGAATCCATTTTGATTTGGGAAGGGTCAAGTGGGAAAGAGCGGTGAGAAACTAATCCCCTTGTTTTGATAAAGAAAGCAGATGGGCTGGGGGAGCAGTGTCCCGACCAGCTTAGTTCCCTTGTCAGTGAATTCATATGACAGCAAACCCCCTTTGCTTCACAATTCAGTTCCCCTCCTTCAGTTCCAACAGCCTCACTCCCCCGTTGTCCCTCAATTCCTTTCCCAGTCTGCCTGTTCTAGAAGCAGCACTGCAGAGATTTAGGACAATCTGAGCATTTGGCATTGTGCTTTGGTTGAAGAAAAAGCTTTGTTTTAGTCTTTGAAGTCTTAGTGAGGGTTCTGAAAGAATCATGTCTCCTGTCATTCACACGTGGGAATCAGAGAGATAAGAGGAAGTGTGGGCAGGCTGTAAAACCTGTGCACTCACCCACAGTGACGTACTTCCTTCAGCAAGTTCCACAAGTTAAAGGTTTTGTAACCTTCTCAAAGAATATCACCAACTGGGAACTAAGTGTCCAAAGACATGAGCCTAGGGGAGACATTTCTCATTCAAATCATAGCACTGGTAGCACGCCATTCAAAATAATAAAGGCGTCATTAATCGCGTAGCATTACAGAGTCACCACAGCTACGAAACTTCCCTTCCACCAAGCCTATGAAAAGGAGCCATTTGCAGCCTTTTCGAGAAGTGTCATGAAAACAGGAGCTGTTTGTCTCGTGTAAGTGTTCTGCGACTGGAACTTAGTGTTTATACAACAGCACAGGGCTTGCGTGGGCCCCGTACACAGCACAGCTCTCCGGGTTAGAACAAGAGTGCACAGGCGTGGCAGTTTTCACCACAGAACACTGTCAAGTTCCCAGAGTCCCAAGGAGTCCCTCTACAACAGGCTCCTGTTTCCTCTCCTGCTGGCACGCCTAGACTTAGCTCCTATCTGGAAACCCGGGGGCATATTATAGAGGCACGGTTAATCCTTGCTGAAAATTCCTGGTCTGGTCATCTGACCTCTTCTGAGGACACAAGAACCAGATTTCTGGGTACATGAGGCTTTGCTTTCTGCTAACCCTCAGAGAGCCATTTCCAGATCCCTCCAGTCAGAGAGGGCAGAGTGTGGGACACACTTTTGTGTGTGTCCTCAGCATAAGACTATGACTAAGACATTATGGAAAGCACTGGCTTCTTTGGATCATCATTAAGAATAAATAAGATTCATATTGATTGGAGAGGCAGGCCTGTGGTGGTTGGCTCAGGGAATGATCAGTTCACCTCCATGGATGGCTGAAGCAAGTGCCATTTTGAGATGTCAGTCATGAGAATGATATGCTCCCAGAGAAAAGGAAAGATAGATAGAACAATAGAAAAATAAACTGTGGGATTTTCATATCAGCACCTGGATCTACAATGGTCTCAACTTTGTCAACAATGTCTAATGAATCCGTGAGAGAATGCCAAAAATAGCAGTAAACATGTAATCAGCATGTATATAACTTCGGTTATAATATTGTATATAGTTAAAACCAAATAGCTATAAACAATGCCAATCTGTCTGAGATAGTCTAAGTATAATTATGTGGGTAGTGAACTTTATGATCTGTCTAGGGAAAAACTAGATCAAGAATTCACTCTTGTTTATGAAGCACTAACTAACCATATACTAGACCATCAGTAAATGCTAAGGACACACCAACAGAGACTAAAGGCTGTCTTTTTACTGGGGACAGATATAGAAAGCAGGGAAACTATGTCACAGTGGTGTGACGTTGGTGGTACAGTGGTAAGCACAGCTCTCTCCCAAGACGCGACACAGTGTTGTGGGGGAACGTGTCTAAAGAGTTGATGTGCGTTGTGAGAACTCAGTCCTCTATCTTTCCCTTGAGGGATCGCAGAGGAGGTTGGAGGGGAGCCTGGGTGAAGCCAACATCCCTAAGTTTGCAACCTTTTACCCTGCTAATCATCAGGAGATAATTCCAGCTACAAAGGGGAAGTGCCCGAGGTCCTAAGGCATGTGATGGAAGTGAGTACAGTTCAGAGCACCACCGCCTACAGCCTAGAAACAAGTAAAGCCCAGGAACAGCAAGGTACCAATCCCGCGTTGGCACGAGTAGCGTCAGGACGGTCCGTGTTGCTGTCTCTGTCTTAAATTTCGCTCCTGTGTCGATGTCATCCGAAAAACTAAACATTGGATTTGTTGTCGCTTTTGTCTTGTCTGTCCTGTTTGCCTTCTTTCAGCCAACCTAACAATAACCTCGGACCCAATTTCTGTTTCTGAGGGACAAAGCTTCTCTATCTCATGCATCAGCGATGTGAGTAACTATGATGAGGTGTACTGGAACACTTCTGCTGGCATTAAAATCCACCCAAGGTTTTACACCATGAGCAGGCGTCAGGATGGAGCGGAGTCGGTCCTGACGGTGAAGACCTCCACCAGGGAGTGGAATGGTAAGGGAGGGCCAGACCCTGCAGTAGGCTGTCTAGACCCCTGAAAATGTGCAATGGCAAGCAGCAGCTGCCTCCAACGGCCCTGAATTAGGGCATGCCTATGATGACTTTATTAATCATTATTTGTGGGTGATATGGCAGTCATTTGGGGGTAGATAGCACTCTCCCGTTTATGAATGTGGCAAACAATGCTCAAAAGCAACATTGATTATGATGGTACAAGTTAGGTTGTGCAGCCTGGATTGGCATTAGCGTCTGAGTCCACAGCCTGCACTTCTGCATCTTGACAGAAGGAGTTGTTTCGAAATAACTTCACTAGGGCCTGAGAAACAGCTCGGTCAGTAGAGCACTTACCTTGCAAGAAGAAAGGCCTGAGTTTGAGCCCCAGAAGCCACATAAAGCCCAGCAGAGTAGCGACTGCTTTCAACCTCAGCAGCGATTGTCAGGGGGTGAGGGAAGGTGGTCCTGGCAGGCGAATCCCGGGAGGCTTGGTAACCAGCTAGTCTAGCCTTCGTAGCAGACTTCTAGTCCAACGAGAGACTCTGTCTCCAACAGAAAATGGAACGTGTAGGAGACACAACACTGGAGGTTGTTCTCTGATTTCCAAATGTATGAGTTTACACATATACATGCATATGTACACACACATGTACTCCCGTGCACACACACTTACACACACACACACACACACACAAATAATAATAATAATATACCTTTACTAGATGCTTGGTACTGTGAAAACTCTGGGAAGTGTTTACATGTCTAGTTTTAATAAAAGAAGTATTTGTATTTCCTGTTTATATCTCTATGTTGTTAGTGTTGCCAGGAAGTACAAGTTTTGGAGAGTGCATGGAATCAGTAGACCTGTGTGGTAGCAGCTGATCCATGGATCTTTTATGATACAGTAATCACTGTGCTAAGTACACAAACGTCCAGGGCAGCTGCTTCAATGGTGGTTTGTCGTCGGGTGGCATGGTGTCCTGGAGCCCAAGGGACCACTCATTTAGACGGACAAGTGGGTGCGTTGGATCCATAGGGTTCCGTCATGTCCCAGATCTTCACAAACGTTCTTCTCTGCACGCCACCAGACTCCCATTCTTTCCGTGGAGCAGGAAGTTTGGCACCCAGTTTCACTCTTACCCTTGGATAAGTCATTTAATTTGATTGGTTGGAGTGAATGCATATATGAAAGAAGGAGGGTTATTGGTTAATTCTTAAGATATGGGAAGTTTCTAGAAGGGAAGTCAGTCAAGCTCTCCCAGCCTCCTTACCCAAGCTGGGGAAGGAAAGCTAAGTCTCCTTATCACCCGTGATTCCCTTTAAGGGTGATGACTTCACTCTGTCTCCCTTTCGCTCCCTCCCCTCAGGAACCTACCACTGCATATTTAGATACAAGAATTCATACAGCATCGCCACCAAAGACGTCATCATCCACCCACTGCCTCTGGAGTCGGATATCATGATGGACCCTTTGGAAGCCAGTGGTCTGTGCACCAGTTCCCATCAGTTCAGGTGCTGCGTGAAAGAGGAGGAAGGGGAAGAGTACTCCGTCACCTTCCACGTCGGCTCCTCAGCCTTTCCTGCTGGTGAGAGGCAGACCGTCCCGTGGTTAGGTCACATTAGCTCATAGACACGAGGTTTTACTCTTAAAGCAGATATCGAAAGGTTTCCGGAGACGGAGCCTCACTTGATGTACAGGAGTGTAATTCCCGTTACTCAGGAAACTGATGCAGATGGGCCTGTGCGCTAGGCCTGCCTAGGAACATAGGAAATTCAAAGCCAACCTAGGCAACTTAGTGAGCCTTTGTATCAAAATAAAACAAAAAATGAAAAGAGGCCAAAGATGTAGCTCTGCTTCAGAGCACTTGCCCGGCATGTGGGAGGACCATGGGATCAGTCCTCAGGACTGGATAGAGGCTCCATCAGGGATGAAATATCATGGAGCCTTCTTTGTTGTCTTGCTGTGGTGTATGACTGATGACTCACTAGTTTGAAGGAGCTGTGGGTAGACCCATAGAATCTCCTTCATCTCCAGTCTCTCATGTGGTCGAGCAGACATTCTGATAACCCCTCCTTCCGTGTTGTAAGAGAACTTGATAGAAGATGGCCCAATAATCTTCCTAAATACATAACTAGACCAGAAAGACAGCAAAAAAAAAACCAACCAAACAAAAAACCAGCTAAGCACCACAGAGGAAAAAAAGAAAGACCAACACTCTAGCAAGAATTATGCTTCCTGAAGGTATTTGTCTTTATCAGAATTCCAGAGCCTTTAGCAGACTCCGGCGCTGAGGAAGACCTTGTGATCTTTAAAACAGTTTTATAGGCCAGGTGGTGGTGGTACATGAGGCCAGCCTGGTCTACAGAGTGAGTTCCAGGCCAGCCTGGTCTGCAGAGTGAGTTCCAGGACAGCCTGGTCTGCAGAGTGAGTTCCAGGACAGTCAGAGCTGCACAGGAAAAGCCTGTCTCAAAAAACAAACAAACAAACAAAACAACAAAAAACCAAACCAACTGTTTTTAAACATTTTTTTTATTTTACTTCATGTGTCTAAGTGTTTTTACCTGCATGTATGTGTTTGTGTATCACATTTGTACAGAGCCTGTGGAAGTTAGAAGAGGTTATTGAGTCTCCTGGAACTGGAGTTATAGATGGTTATGAGCCACCATTTGGGTCTGGGAGCCAAACCCAGGTTGTCTAAAAGAGTAGCCAATACTCTTAAACACTGAGCCATCTCCCCAGCCCAGCCTTTGTTCTTTAAATGGTGGCTGAGCCACTCCCTGCCACATCCCACTCCTGGCCCAATGACCGGATCGTCAAAGGATGCCTTGCTCAGTAGAGACTAGGGCAGAAAAACAAAAGTCATCAGTTACGGTTAGAAGTCTGGCTTCGTCTCTGGGTGCACGCAAGTTCTCTAAGCAGTATAGCTTTTCACCATTGCCCCACTTTGGACATTGTTCTTACATTGTGTGGGATTCAAGAACCCTAAGTTGAGGAATAATTGGCCTCCAGTTCTTCACTGGTCATCGTCTTGCAAAACAGAATAAAACAAAGTTCAAATCCTGTCTTGTAAAATGTCCCACAACTCCAAATCTCAAATACACACGGCTTACTAATTCTTCCAATGACTGTCTTTGGGAATTTGCTCAGCCTGAGAGCATAAGAGGCAAGGAGAAGGGGGGGGGGCTTTTTAGATGTCTAATAGAGATAACTCAATGATTGAATGTAGGGGTCTCTGCAACCACCACGGCCAACAGAGCAATGAGCCATTGGGGGCAGAAGGCAATTTGGTTCAACACGACTAAGTAACTGGTGTTAACCCAAACTTCAGGAGTCTGACCCTAAGTAGTTTATTTTAGGCATATTTAAGCAGTGCCATTTGGTGAAAACGTCCCTGATGATAATTAATCCCATGTGCGCAATAAGCATTCATAAATCTCCTTGAGGAGCAAAGTATGTCATCTGCTGTAATAAGCTAAATAAAGATCAGACCTGACTGCATCTGTGTAAAGTACACGTGACACCTTCCATAAAGATAGGTTCCATGGATTGACTGAGAAAAACAAACTCATGATAAGGGCCTGGGAAATGATTCATTGTGGTCTTGGTCATACAGATAGTGCAAAGGTCACCAGGCCATTAACCTCAGCTCCGAGCCTTCTGGGCAGATGAGAGGTTATGCATCCCTTCCTTTAAAGGAACAGTTCTGTGTGTTCAACATTCCTGGTTCCCCTGGTGCTTATCTGTGAACACACAAACCTCCAAGCCTCCTAAAATTTGAAGGTCTTACTGCTCTTGCAGAGGACCTGGGTTTGGCTTTCAGCATCCATATTGGGCATCTTACAACCATCTATATAACTACAGTTCCAGGGCATCTGGCACCACCTTCTGGCATCTGTGAGATCCTACATGTACGCAGTGTACATACAGACAAGCAGGCACACATAAATTATAAGTAAGTTAATAATAATAACAATAAATAATTTAGGTATTTATTTTAATGGCTAGAAAGGCCCATACTATCTAAAATGTAATGCATATAACACTAAATATCCTAAATGAGTAGGATAGATTGAAAAGACATTGGAAGTTAAGAAAAAGTAAGACTCCAGTTAGCTAGAGAAGGCCATATCACGATGTTGGATGACAGAAAATTTGTCCAGATATTGAAGAATGCCATTATCTCCATATTCTGATGTCATTATGCATAATCTGGGTGTTTTTCGTGTGTCAGATATTGAGACAAGTCCTGGGAGACATGAAAATAAATGAGACTGGGGACTGTCTCTACTGAAGCTTCTGGGTTAGTAAAACAGAAGGACCCACAGGCTAAAGAGAGGGCTTAGTTGTTCTGAGCATTCACTGTTCTTGCAGTGGAGCCAAGTTTAAGTTCAGTTCACATCACCCGGCTTAGGTGGTTCACAACCAGCAACTACAGCTCCGTGGTGTCTTGTGCCCTCTTCTGGGCTCTGCAGGTAACTGCACTAACGAGCACATACACAGACACTCGTGGGTACACATAATTTTTAAAATTTTAAATAAATCTTCAAGTATAGAATAAAGAGGTAATTGTAAATCACTGTGAGATCAGGTGCAATCAATACACCGAGCAGCGTATAAACTCAGACCTGAAACTGTGAATGGGCTAGGTGACATTTTGGCCAGCACTCAGTCAAAGAGGAATTTATTTATCCAGAGGTTATTTTCACACAAATATGTGAACCTACCCTAAAAATAAATGTCATAAATTCCTAGGGGTGTTTGGGGAAGGTTTATTTATATCAGAACATCTTGACAACTTGTATGTCTTGGCTATTCATGCTGTGAATTCACATTTTCAATAACACTGTCTTTAGAGCGAGAAGTCAACGGCAGGCAAGCATGCTACAAATACAGTCTCCCAGCAAACTTACACCTGTGTCCCAAAAACATCGACGTGTTTTGCCACTTTACCAACGCGGCCAATACCTCGGTCCGGAGCCCATCGATGAAGCTCACCCTTGTTCGGGGTAAGTGCATTTCAATTACACTAAAATTATACAGTCATGACCAGGGACTCCTCATTCCTTGCATCTTTTTGGATAGTCAGTAAACATCTGTTAAATACATTTCTTGTGGCAGGCCTTGGGTAAACCATAGGGAATACTAAAAGAAGTAGAGGCCTGTGGCCTAGGGGTTAGATAGAGAGATGATTGAAGGTGTGGTCAAAGCTGCTGCAAGAACCATAAAGAACCACTCTGGGTGGCCAATGAGGCTGCTTGGTTGAACTCCACTGCTGACAGTGAAGGGCATCTTGGCAGATGAAGTCATTCTGGGGTTGGATCAGAAACTTCAATGGTTTGTGAGGCAAACTGGAGTGGGCAGTGCCTGTGTCTCGCTGAGATTCTTTGGGATAACATCAAGGGGGTGTGTCCTCACGAGCACTGCTTTCCTGAGATAGGGCCATTTGAAAGAACAGGTGCCTGCCTTCCCCATCCTCTGACACCACTGAGCCAGTGTGCCCTGCCATATTCTCAAAGGGACAGGCCATGGCCTGGGTGACCATTTCTATGTGAACTCATGTAGAAGTCGCCCGGGTGACCAGAGAGGCAAAGTGATGATTTCCTGGGAACAGGATCCCTGATAGACAAAAGCTCCCTAATTCTTCCACCTGGGTTGTTTGGTTTACTAAATACCCCTGGACATTCTTGCCCATATGATAAGTGGGACCTGCCCATCAAAGTAGGAAGACATTATGATTTTAAGACCCTTGGCAGACAGGGTAGTCTCTTATTTGGATGAGCATACATTAAGTTCTTTATGTTTTCCACGGTTTAGATTTCATCTACATCTAAAATGTCCTGGGGATGTGAGGTGGGCATGAAGCATAGAGGAAAGCAATTGCAGATTGGCTGTGGGGTGTATGCAATAAGGGGCTTTGGAAAACTGGGAACAAATGAAGGTGTTTAGTTCTCGCCAGGCGACTGGGAGCAAAGGCAGTATGAACTCTAGCACCAAAAGCTGCGCAGCCTGATCCTGATTTCTTCTTCCTTGTTCCTGTAAACTGTCTCTTTTGAAAATCCTTATACATGTCTTTAATAATCTTGACAGGGGGCAGGGCAGGCAGGTCAACGGTAGAGCCATCTCCTGCCATCCACAGTAGCTCTGGCGTGTTGGTCGCAGCAGCTGAGATAGCATTTCGCCTCACATGCACAAGACTGTAATCACCAGGGAAACAAACCTACAGCCAGATGATTTTACAGCTGGAAAGGGTTTCTGACCAGGGGACTGCCTACCTATGACTCCATGCTGGTGCTTGGAATATTCAGAATTCGGAGTGACTTGGGGTTCAAGGTTTCAAATTAAAGGTGTCAACTTCTTTTTAAAAGTCACATACAGTCCCTAACCACTGGTCTTGAATTTTCTGTTTTATTTTTAATGTCACTGTGAGTTTCCACTGTGTACTGCACTGTATAACAAGAGGACAGCTTCATACAAGTGTGCAGTGCATGCTGAGTATACCCCAACTCTTAGCCTCCCTCCTCTCCTCCTTCTCCCCCTCCCCAAATAGTCCTTTTTGTTCCCCTGGATCATTTCATCTCTGCATTCATTATATATATATATATATATATTATGTTATATTATATTATATTGTATATATTATACACACACACACATGATTTTATGAATCTATATACAATCTAGGAACACAAATGAGAGACAACACACAATATTTGTCTGAGAATGACTTTGATGTTCTTAGTATGGTGATCTCTAGTTGTATCTATTTACCCACAAACGATGTAACTTCATTCTTCTTTTGACTGGCAGAAATCCCTGACTGTCCCTTGTATTTCCATCTTTCTGATACAGGTGAGAATATCACATGCCAGGATCCTGTGATTGGTATTGGAGAGCCTGGGAAGGTCATTCCGAAGTTGTGCCAATTCTCAAAAGTTTCCAGAAGCCCTGGCCAGATCATCGGCGGGATCGTCACTTATAAATGTGTGGGCTCCCAGTGGAAGGAGGAGAAAAGAGGCTGCATCTCGGCTCCAATCAACAGTTTGCTCCAGTTAGCCAAGGTGAGCAACCTGCACCTCTTGACTCTAAACCATTGAGGAGGGGTATCTCTCTGGCCCAGAAGAATTCTCTGCACTTAGGAAAATTGGCCATGCACCTCTCCAAAATGCACGGCCAAAATATGCTGTATTGGCTACTTTTAGGGCTGCTGTACCATAAATATGACAAAAGCAAGTTAAGGAAGGAAATTTTGTTTTAGCTCACAACTGGAAGGTGAAGTCCATCGTGGCAGGGAGGCATGGATTCAGGAGCATGGCGAGGCTGGTCACATGGCATCCACAGTCAGGAGGTTGAGACAAAAGATGCTGGTGTTCAGCTCGCTTTCACCTTTTCATGCAGCCCAGGACTCAGACCCAGGGAATGGTAGCATCCACCTTTACAATGGGCCTTCCTACTTTACCCCAGTCTAGAAACTCCCTCTTGAATATGCCCAGAAGTTTGTTTCCACGGTTATTCTAAATCCCAGCAAGTTGACAATCAAGATTAGCTATTCAAAAATGAAACCTAGAAGTGCTTTAAAAACCACTTACATTTTGATATGACGGCAACAGAGTATGTGTTGCGCTCTAGAATCACCTGGATGTCTGACCTCAGCAGCTCACCTCCTCATGTCCAAGATCTACAAGGGGTGGCGCATTAGGCTTTCTTAATGATCTCTTTCAAATAGCTCTGACAGCAAATAGCTATAATATTTTCATAAAGAGTGATATAAAAATAAGATTCAATAATGAATAGTCTAATTAGGAGAATATTGACAATGAACTATACTATACAATGACATTGGTGAAAATGTCCCTGTACAAAGTAGTTAAAATAAAATAAATATCTGTGTGTTGAGTTCAGAGAAGAGCAACTCATCAAAGGCTTCTTATAGGAGACAGATGTTTTTCCAATGCATTATTTTTAAAGTGTTAGAAATGTCGATAGTTAGAAAGCAGATGTATACAGATAGATGATATAATCTGTCGTCTTAGTCAAGATACTCCAAGAACAAAAGGAGACAACTTTTTATTTTATAATATTATTTTTATTATTAAAATATAATCACAAAATCCTGCCCCATTCCCTTTCCTTCCTCCAATTCTTCCCAATGCCTCATGTTCCCCTTTTCTCTTTATTTGTTTATGCATTCACACAAACATACACACAACCTTCTCAGTCCCTTCACTGTTGCTTGTATATGTATGATTTCAGGGCTGACCACTTGATACTGGGTGACCATTTAGGAAACTCATCCCTTGGGTAGACTACTTCCTCCGCTCTCAGTGTCCCTTACTTGCTTGTAGTTCTTTGTCCAGGATTGGGAACTCCACGAGATTTCCCCTTTACTTGTCAGCGTGTCTACTGTTGTCCTTGTGCAGATCTTGTTGTGGCAGCCATGTGACTGAGGTACCATGGGTGAAGCTCCTTTGTCCTTTCTAGGAGACACAGTCTCACAGCTGAGTTCCAAGTCCCCTGGCTCTGACAATCCTTCTATCTTGTCTTCCTCAGTGTTTCCTGAGCCTTAAGCGCAGGAGTGGTGTTGTAGATGTATCTACTGGGCTGGATGTCCCGTGATCAGTCATTCTCTGTGTTTTGACCAATTGTGGGCTTCCGTGATGGTTTCTGTCTATTTCAAAGAGAAGTTTTGTTGGTGAGGGTTGGAAACTACACTTAGCTGAAGATATATGGATAAGAATTTAAAATGCAGTTAGGAATTATGTGATTTAGTAAAGTGGTGGTCTCTGGTTCTCCTCTAAGGTCTACGACCTCACTAGCCCCAGGGAATTGACTAAGTTTCTAACAGCAGGCATGATTTCCAATTTTCTTTCTGTTGAATGAGCCATCATTCCAATCAGACAGTGACTGGTTACTGTCGAGATGAGAGTGCTGTTATTGCAACTAGCTTGCCATCTTGGTCTCTTCTGAGGGCCATAGGCTTCACAGTCACATGCATCACTCCCTTGTACCTGGCATCGTATGTATTTTCTTTGTTTAAATTTCAGGACTATGAAAGTAAAAGAGGGTACTCTTAATAATTATATTGAGATAACAGATACAGAACAATGAAATAGGAAGGACAATCATATTCACACTCGGAAGTATCAGTAGTACAGGGGGAAAAGACCGGTAGATGTGTTTCCATATGGACAATATCAAGTTTATTTTACTTTAACTCTGAAGCAATCACATATATTGTTCTTTTGTTTCTAGTTAGATTTTGGGTGGCATATGTTTAGCTCTTGGCTCTCTACGCATGCGATCTTAAGCTTTTTCCATCTTGAGAGGCATGCACAGATAGTTTAAGGGGTGAAGGTTTTAACTTACAGTATATACTATTGATTATGGGCATTGAGAAAAAAAGGAGAGCACAACATCCAGATCACTAGGATCAAAATATCTCCATTTGTTCTGGCGTTTTTAAACTAGGCTTTGATCAAGAGCCCCTCGCAGGACCAGAAGCTCCCTACATATCTGAGGGACCTTTCCACTAGTGCTGGGAAGGAAGAATGGGATGTCCGCTCATCTCCAGGAAGCCTGGGAGCCGTCATCAGCATCCTTGATTTGCTCTCAACAGTTCCAACCGAAGTGAATTCGGAAATGATGAGGGTAAGTGTACTTAAGTCCTGTGGGAGTTTGAGGGCCTTGCTTTCCCACACCTCTGGACTTGTGCTCAGGAAGCATTCCTTCTTCTCATGCAGACGCGTTTTCAAGAGCACCGATTAGGATAAGAGGCCAGCACAGCATGCTTTGCAGGCTGCGGCTTCTAGATCAGAGGTTCTCAATGTCTTTACAGAATCTCTGTTTTCATTTCTTCATTTAAATAGAATAAATTCCTACTAGTTTTTCGGAAATCTGGGAATTAAAAGGGTTACAAAGTAGGTGCCCAGCTACAAAAAATGTGCTAGGTGGGTATGATGGTGTCAGCTTGGCACCTAGGAGGCAGGGCATTTGGCACACTTGTGAAAGATTGGCCAAGTTAAGGTCAGCTTCAGAGAAGGTATATGAGACTGTTTTCATTAAAATAATTAATATAGGAAGTTTTATATTATTTGTGGGTGGCATCATTCCCTAGGCTGGGGATCTTGGGTTATATAGGAGTAGAAGATGTGAGCCGAGCCCTTGCATGCATGCGTTAATCCACTGCACTCTGCTCTTGACCATGGATAGAATGTGTCCAGTTCTCTTAAACTCCTGCCACTGCCACTTCTATGCCACAGCAGGCTGTAATCTGGAACTGTGGGTCCCTACACTCCCATAGTTCATTTGATGCTCAGGGCTAGAGTATGTCTTCTGAGACTTTCTTGTGCCACCTAACAGAAAGCCTTCACAGGTTTATGATTTTAAAAAGAAAAGTTAGCCAAGGACCTGGGGAGATGTTTGTACAGTATTTATCAAGCAAGCACGAGAGTCTTAGTTCAGTCTCTAGAACCCATGTTGAAAAGCTGGGCATAGGGCTTGACTCCCGGTGTTGGGGAAGCAACAGGAGGATCCTTGGAGTATACCAGCCATATAACTGCACTGAACCAGTGAGCTCCACATTCAATGAGAAACCCTGTAACACATGTGAAGGAGACCCAGTGTTAACCTCTGGCCTCAGTACCTTCACGCACACATACATATGTGCACCCATAGACACACATGAAGATGCATACATATACAAAAATAACAGAAAGAAAGGAAGGAAGGAAGGAAGGAAGGAAGGAAGGAAGAAAGAAAGGAAAAAAGAAAGAAAGAAAGAAAGAAAGAAAGAAAGGGAAGGAGGGAGGAAGGGAAGAAGAGATGAAAGGAGGAAGGAAAGAAGGAAGGAAGGAAGGAAGGAAGGAAGGAAGGAAGGAAGGAAGGAAATTCTACACAGCCAGCTAAGTAGGTCTTAGGAGTGAGGGGGTGATTCTTACAGTCATTGTTACTAAATGCTCACCAAAGTCCCAGAGCCTTATGGTCCCTGCCTCTGCCATGTTCCGTTGTGAGAAAGAAGGGGACAGATGCACTTGTGGCACATCAGATTCTCTGCTCCCCACCCTTTCTTATCTACCCCAACCAGTACCCAGAGAGATGTTGTTTTGTCTCTTATCTTGAAAAAGTGGTTTGGTTCCCCCCACCCCTCCTCCCGTGTCACCTGCAGGATGTGCTTGCCACCATTAATGTCATCTTAGACAAGTCGACCTTGAAGTCCTGGGAGAGGTTACTACAGCAACAGAGCAACCAGAGCTCCCAGTTCCTGCATTCAGTGGAAAGGTTTACCAAAGCGCTGCGGCTGGGAGACAACACCCCTCCGTTCCTCTTCCACCCGAACGTTCAGATGAAGAGCATGGTAGTAAGACGTGGCCACCCTCAGACCTACCAGCAGAAGTTTGTCTTCACGGACTCTGACTTGTGGGGCGACGTCGCCATTGATGAGTGCCAGCTGGGGAACTTGCAGCCCGACTCATCTATTGTCACTGTGGCTTTCCCGACTCTCAAGGCCATCCTTGCCAAGGATGGACAGGAAAAGGCGTCTTCCAACAGCTTGGTGATGACCACTACCGTCAGCCACAGCATCATCAAGCCCTTTAGGATTTCCATGACTTTCAAGAACAACCATCGTTCAGGCGGCAAGCCGCAGTGTGTCTTCTGGAACTTCAGCCTTGCCAACTACACAGGGGGCTGGGACAGCAGTGGGTGTTCCATGGAGGATGATGGCAGGGACAATAGGGACAGGGTCTTCTGCAAGTGTAACCACCTGACATCATTCTCCATCCTCATGTCCCCAGACTCCCCAGATCCAGGATCTCTCCTAAAAGTACTTCTGGATATCATTTCTTACATTGGGCTGGGGTTTTCCATCTTCAGCTTAGCGGCCTGTATAGTTGTAGAAGCCATGGTGTGGAAATCAGTGACCAAGAACCGAACTTCCTATATGCGCCATATCTGCATAGTCAACATCGCCTTTTGCCTTCTGATTGCTGACATCTGGTTCATTGTGGCTAGTGCGATCCACGATGGCCACTACCCACTCAACGAAACAGCCTGCGTGGCCGCCACCTTCTTCATTCACTTCTTCTACCTCAGCGTCTTCTTCTGGATGCTGACGCTGGGCCTCATGCTCTTCTACCGTCTGATCTTCATTCTACACGATGCGAGCAAGTCCACCCAGAAAGCCATTGCCTTTTCCCTAGGCTACGGCTGCCCTCTCATTATCTCATCCATCACAGTGGGGGTCACGCAGCCGCAGGAAGTCTACATGAGGAAGAATGCATGCTGGCTCAACTGGGAGGACACCAGAGCACTACTGGCTTTTGCCATCCCAGCCCTGGTTATTGTGGTGGTGAACGTGAGCATCACAGTCGTGGTCATCACCAAGATCCTGAGGCCTTCCGTCGGAGACAAGCCCGGCAAGCAGGAGAAGAGCAGCCTGTTTCAGATCAGCAAGAGCATCGGGGTCCTCACGCCTCTCTTAGGGCTCACTTGGGGTTTCGGTCTCGCCACAGTGATCCAGGGGAGCAGTGCCGTGTTCCACATCATCTTCACCCTGCTCAATGCCTTCCAGGTAAGCCAGTTAGCCAAGCACCAGCATCTCAGGAAATGCCCTTTCTCGTGGGATGAACTAATGATAGATACACAAACAAGAGGAGGAATGGGGAAGGGTTTGAACACACAGGAGGTCGAAGTGTCAGGAAACAGTAATTACAAGCTCTCAGGGAGACTAAGGGACACAATCCTCTGCCTCCATGGAACCTTGAACCTTTTATCACCTACGTTTTAATTTGGTCCCAAATGTCCCCATAGTACAATTAGGAGGGGAGTCGTCGTTCTAAACTAGATGATGCTGTTTACTCAAGATAATCTCGCCCTAGCCTTATCTCCTAATGGCACTGCCACTAAGTCAAGTCACGGCTCCATTTAGTCTCTGCGCACATCAGCGAGCTGGGGCTCCCTGTGGGTCACTGTATCTCCCTGTCTAACAAAGACCTTGGTCCAAGGTCGATTCTCAAAAGTCAGTTGAAGGAAGTAGATACCGGGTACCACATAGTTCCTCAGGAAAGATAGGTTGAAGAATGAACATAGTACATACCAATCTATTTTATGCTGTTGAGGTGAAGACATCTCTTTGCTTTCCTGTGGTACGTAGTCACTTACAGCGGAGGCCAGCTTGTTAGATAAGCTGTAAGAGAAAGATGGGCGCCATGAAGCATCTTGCTCCTGGATGCTTGTGACAAAACCATACGAATCCCAACACTTAACAACCATGTGTTGTGAACTACAAGGTTCTTACCTAATGGTTTTGAAGTCATACTTCCATGGAAAGAAATATCTTATCCCATGATGGTCTTCACAAGCTATAGGTATAAATGAGAAATAATGTAGATTAGAGAAGTATATTAGCATAGCCCTATCTAAAGTTGGGGGGAAAATAGGAATTATTCCCCTAGTATCTATCATGGAAGGCTCCTTACTGTGTCACTGCCGTGTCCCTTCATGTCCTCGTGTCCTGGACTCGTCACATCCACTCAGACGGGGAAGAAGGTGGGGGCCAACTCAACCCCTGCTTCTGAATGCTTTCTGTGGAACTGGGTTGCCATTAAAATCAGTCCTTAATCCTTCCCGCAGGGGCTCTTCATTTTACTCTTCGGCTGCCTCTGGGATCAGAAGGTAAGAACAACGATAGCCGCATGTTTCTGGCGATGTCTAACATGCCCAAATGCAGCCTATCGAATTGACACTGGTGTCTTTTAAACCTGCAGGTGCAGGAAGCTTTGCTGAATAAGTTTTCATTGTCAAGATGGTCTTCTCAGCACTCAAAGGTAAGCCTGGTCCTGAGAGGCTTCCTGGTTCATACACGGACTCGATTAGTGCGATACCAGGAGAGAGACTAGCCTTGGGGTTGTGATCAGCTGGGGGAAATAAAAGCAAAGCCTCTGCTTCCATGACTAATTTCAGCCCAGATTATTTAATGATTGCTGCTTCTTGCCACAGTGTTCTGGGTCAGTGTGCCGTGCATGTCTCTTTAAGATGTGACTCCACAGCTCTCGATGGCCGATCATCTGAAGGTGGCATCTCAGCCAGAGCAGTGGTGCATAACTGTAATTCCAGCACTCAGTAGGGTCTCCATAAGCTGGAGGCTAGCCTGGGCTCCTGAGCAAGTAACTCCAGGGCAGCTAGGTCTGCATAGTGAGACCCAAATCCAAGAGCAACATTGTAGAGCTCTTTAGGGAAAAATCAAATTCTCAGTGAGAAGCTTCTGGGTAGAATTCAAGGAATTAGAAGATAACAATGTAAGAAATAATAATGAAATTTTTTATGGTTCATTCTTTTAGAGTGTAACTGTTCTTCAATATGATTGCCTGTGTTTTGTATGTCAAAATATACTAGAAAAACTAACAGTAAAGTTAAGGTAAAAAAAAATGTTCACAAAACAGTAAGACATGCATTTAAACAAGGATACAACTTAGCTTGTGATTCATGTGTAAAAAGAGCTAAACTGGCTCCTTGGGGGGGAAAAAACTAAGAGAGGGGGAAGGGAGGGAAGAAGGAAGAAAAAGAGAGGAAGGGAAGGATGGGGAAAGGAAGGAAGGAAGGAAAGGGGAGAAGGGGAAAATGGAGTGAGAACATAACTCATATATATTTGCCAGTTATTTATTCAGTTCAGGGAGTACCACTTGACCTAAGGAAGGGATAGGATTAGACACCCAGGAAAGTGACCACTAGAAGGCAGCAACAAGTTGACCCCCCACACACACACACACAAAGGGTGTCAACTAGCTCTGGTCTCCAGGACTTGTTTGATGACTGTCTTTTCCCTCTTTCTCCTAGTCAACATCCCTGGGTTCATCTACACCCGTGTTTTCTATGAGTTCTCCGATATCCAGAAGATTTAATAATCTTTTTGGTAAAACAGGTACGTAGTGATTACCAGGTTCTCCTAGCTGGACCAGATCACACTGGCCCTGATCTAGCACCCCGACTTTCACCCCCACTGCATGACACGGATCTAAACAACTGTGTTTAGGGGAGAGATTTAATTCAGGAATTTGCTTATATATTCACAAGCGACCAGGAGCTTGCTAAAGAAGTGCAGCTACTTTCAAAGACAACTAATGTAAATTCATGAAAGTTTTTAAAAACTTGAGAGTCCTCAGAGGTCTGTCTATCCAATATGAACAGCATCTGCAAGCTTCTGGGCTTGTCCAACACAGAATTCTTTTTATCATGTTAAGTAGACACATCACTTTTCTGTGTCATGCAAAAAATAAACATGGAAATTTTTCATGTAGATTGTAGGATTCAAATCAGTGTTGCTCCTCCCACTCACAGAGCACACTGACTTTACACATTGACATTTACAAGCTGAGTATACATATGTGAGGCATCGTCCAAGCTACATATTCTATTGGATAATCATAACTTCTGCCTGGGAAATAGGGAATAAATAGTGCTAATGACTTCAGAACTAGTCTGAGCTAATCAGAATGTAAATCCAGTCCCAACCCCTGCCTCCCACAGCACAGTCCCATCATTCCCTGACAAGAAAACCCATCACACGTCTGCCCCACGGGACAGCCCCAGCACACAACACACGTCTGCCCCATGGGACAGCCCATCACACATCTGCCCCACGGGACAGCCCATCACACGTCTGCCCCACGGGACAGTCCCATCACACGTCTGCCCCACAGGACAGTCCTGTCATGCCCTGACAGGACAGTCCATCACACGTCTGCCCCATGGGACCATCCCATCGCTCCACCCCCATGAAGCAGTCCCGTTACACTGCCCCTCACAGCGCATTCCTGTCACACTGCCTCTCCTACAAGAAAATGGTCACCCAAATGCTTTTCTTTTCAGTTTTGCTTTTCTCCGTGTTGTGTTAGGGACCAGGTTCTCAAGTGTACTAAGCGAGCACTCTACCATCGAGCCACCCCTTAGCCCCATGTTCATCTCTTCAAAACCAGACAGACCTCACAGATGCAGCCGTAGACTGTGTCCACGTCCAGATCCTGGCTGCCACACATTTGCCATCAAACATATCTGAATCTGAGTGTTCTGAGAGGGCCATGGAGACCAAGTCTCCGGATATGGTGGAGAATTGGGAAATCACTCCAGAGACTAGAGAATTGTCCCTTTTCACTTGGGATGCCACTGATTTGACCTCACATGAAATGACAGAATCTTTTTAAATCCTAGAACTATTGGACTTCATAAGCATTTAGCATTTCCAAGAAGTGAGCAGAAGTTAAGTAATCTACTGAATCTGAACTTTGCAAAATGTCAGGCCAATAGAATACACTCTTTATTTGCGAACCATCCAGACCTAAGTTGGGAATGTGGATTTTGTTCCTGGGGTGTCAGGACTTGAGATTCCCGGTCACTGCTGTTGGATACTCTTGCATGGGCCATCAGTACAGCTCTACTCTGGATAAGTTTTTTGGGGGGGAGGGTTGACTACTGTAACTTTGGTTTGTGTTGTCAGCAGCCCCAAAGGTCCCCCCAGGCAATGATGGGAACCCTGTTAGCAGTGGCAGTTCATCATCCTGATGGTAGGGTAGTCACTTCGACGCTTCCCTTGCCCAGTGTATGTTCTGTATGTCCCCTGCACACAGTGCCTGCCGTCTACCCACACAAGGCTGAGCAGTTCCACCAGCTGCCCTCCCGCTGTGCTGGTCCTTGGTACTTCTGCTGGTATCTCTCACTTTTTCCCACCCTGCCTCTTCCTCCCTTAGAGTTAGTCTCGTCTTTCCTCTTCTTCCATGTATGAACCTTCAGCTCAACGGTTAGCTCCTTCCTATGAACTTCCCCAAGTCAAGTTAAACAAGGGAACCAGGAAGTTTCCCTCATGCAGAAGCCCCCAGGGCCAAGCATGTGGGCGCTTAGGAAGAGGCTGCCCACGTTGAGGTCTGGCTGTTCTGTGTGGAAACCTGGCTGCTGGTGTGTTGTGGAGTAGTTAGTGCTTGGTGGCTGCCGTGCATGCTTGAGGACATCACTCTGTCGTTGGTTCTCCAGCACGCTGGGCTAGGGAGGAGGGCAGGCCTGAGCCATTCCAGGCATGGCTGCTGGGCCAGAGCTCATCCTGTCTCCTCAGAAGGTGTCTGCACGCCAAAGTGCATGGAAGTTTGTCTTGGAGGCTGAAATGCTGCTTTGCCTTTTGTTGCAGGAACATATAACGTTTCCACCCCAGAAACAACCAGCTCTTCTGTGGAAAACTCCTCTAGTGCTTACTCGCTGCTCAACTAGGACCAGACAACGCCAAATCCACAGGACCGCTCAGAAATGCGGCGTGTGCCGAGAAAAAGGGACCCATCCAAATCTGTGGGTAACGTGTTCTCTCTGCAGACCTCTGGGAGCAGATGCTGAAGAGATTCTTTCAGTAGAGAAGACGCTTTCTTCTGTAAGGACAGACTAAAGCAATTGCCATGTTTATTTTTGTTCCCACCCCCATCCGTTGTGTAATGCCAACTATGTATAGTATTTAAAAGAAACCCCACAAGGCCCAACGTTTCTATATGTATTGTAAAATAGAATTTTGAAGAGAGTTTTTCAGCCCATCCTACCCCACCCCACGCCATGGACTATAAAGATCAGTGTTGGCTGGAGCTGTAGTAAAGGCCGGTACTCAGGAGTTCAGTGGATTCGAGGAAGAGAGAAAAGGTAGGAGGAAGGAAGGAAGGAAGGAAGGAAGGAAGGAAGGAAGGAAGGAAGGAAGGAAGGAAGGAAGGAAGGAAGATGACGTTGAAAACATTAGGGAGTACATTGTAAGGTTTCCACATCAAGGTCTAATACGATCACGCAAATGCCACAGCACTGAGAATGAAATAAACGGCTCTAAAATGGACAATGAGATGAAGCTGTGGGGGGCAAGAATAACACATTCGTGGCATTTCCCTAGTTAAAAGGGTAGAATCCAAGACAGAGGGGAAATAGGAAGGGCATCATGCCACAAGGATGCTTCTGGCTGGATAGTAGTATCTACAAGCAATGCACCCAAGGAGACACATGTCCTCACGACAAGGATATGCGTATGAACCTTTGCATGTCAAGGCCTGAGCAAAGATGGATGAACACATGTAGGAACTATGACAGCAACTCTGTCAGATTCAAGTTTGTCAGGAAAGCACTGTGTGTTAGTTTGTTTGACATTTTGAAGGCAACACATGTGTATGTATATATTATACCCAGTTATTGACAAATTTGTTATATCGCGCTGGGCTCAGACTCCCCTGTCTGTCTTACCTGTAACAGCTTTAACCAGGTACTTTCTGTGCGTTATAGAATAGACTTTAATGACTGTGTAGCATGTACAGTTCTGTTATTGCGGTTGTGATGTCATCATGCCTGTGGAGACGTTGGCCCTTGGTGTGCTGTCCAGCTGGCTGTGTACTGTCCGTTGCTGGTCTTTTAAGTGCCCAGGCCAATACACATTCAGAGCCACTTGGAAGGCTTCCGGAGGACGAACACGAGGCTCTTCTGTGCCCCCAGCCACCCTTTGCTTTGATAAGCAAATGGCAGACTCCCCCGCCCAAGGATTAGTTTGTGAATTCACACCCATGTGGTTTTTGTATGTATGTCTCCCAAAAATACAGATATTTATTAAAACTGCATCCATGTTAGAGCGCACCATGTTCAGGACCCCAGAGCAATCATTCAGTTCATACATGTCCAAGGGGAATCGCAGAGGAAGTGGCCCTAAGGACAGGGTCTTCGTGAATTTCTCCTTGCTGTAGGAAGACGCTGTGTCAAAAGGAGCTCCAGGGAGATGAGGTTTGCTTTGGCGTCTACTTTGGAGCACAGTCTGTTGCGGTGGGGAAAGCACGGTTGGGGAACATGAAGCCAGCCCACCACACTGCCTTGGCAGTCGGGAAATAAAAACAGGAAGTGGGACAAGTCTATGACCTCTCACAGCCCTCCCCCAGGGACACACCTCCTCTAGCCAGGCTCCACCTCCTAGAGGTTCTGTAATCTTCCCAAACAGCACCAACAGGAGGTGGGAGGGGTGGGGCAAGGGTTCGAATACGGAAGCCTATAGGGGGCATTTCACGTTCAACAACAAACAGCAGGCTCCTCAGGGTGGGTGGGCAGTGTTCGGTTTTGAGAGCCTCTGTGTGCCCTTCATGAGAAAGACAGCAGAGAGGGGTCTGAGCTCTAGCCATCATTCATTGACTTAGGTTCTGAGAGTTTTATTTTTAATATTTTTAAACACTTTAAAAAACTCCTCCTTTTAGCTCTAAGCTTGAATTCTGCTTCTCTGTTCTTCACAGAGACAGAGAAATATGGGACAAAATTCCATCCATTGAGTTCTGTCTCCATACAAGTGCCACAAGTATCTGTTCCCACAGGCCTGTCCCAACCTAATGGCTCATTATTTAAAGTCCTTACAGGAAACAAATGTTGATGTGCAAACACGGGTGAGTTCTCCAGGGAGTCTCCAAAGCAGGACAGAGTTCAGTAGAGAGAAAACAGAGACGAGTCTAAACAAGGCATCCTTTGGATTAGAATCGGTTGTTCGGGAAAGAGTGGCTTGGACTCATTCAGCTCCTTGGAGCTCTGAGCAGGGGTACTGCACAGCACACAGCTCTGAGCAGGGGTACTGCACACCATGGCAGTGCAGCCTTGACATCAGGGAGACACAGCACCAGGCAAGGTGCAGAAGTCCGAGGAACGCTGAACTTCGGCCCACTTCACTGCTGCCCCTTGGGAGCCATTGGGCTTGACCTTGTGAAGAAAACCTCTATAACAGCGTAATAGCAGGAACTTCCAGCTGAATTCCATAGGATGTGGCTCTGGCCCTCTGCCCGTGTTCATTCACAGGGACACGTTCCCCTGTTGCCAGCACGCATGCTCACAGAGTCTAACAGACTCACAAATTCATACATAGACCCCATACTCTGACATAGGCAGACACAGACATGCACACACACCTGCACACTCATATGGACACACATCAACACCCAAACACACAGGCACACCTGGACAGATGTTTTTGTGAGAACTGCCACATCTCTGTCCCGACTGAGTGGCTCAGAATTCCCTAAAGGAAGTTTGTTAGTGTGTAAACACAAGATTCAGCAGGGGCCGTTCATCTTTGGGCCGACGTGTATGCATTCACACCAAGATGAGCACACACACACACGCACACACACACACACACATATTCACACCAACCAGAGCACACACGGAGGCCCCTCAGTCTTTCAAGACACAGCATTGGATTCCAGAAGATGTGGCTGGAGATCTGGCTCGGTGGTTGAGAAGGTGTACGGTTCTTACAGAAAAATCTCAAGTTCGACTCCCACGTTGAGCAGCTCCCCACCACCTGTAATTCCTGCTGGAGGGAGTCTGCTGCCCTCCTGTTGACTTTGGGGATACTTATATGTGCCTATCCCTGTCCCTGACACACGTGTTTACACATAAAGTTTCAAAAATAAATTCCAGAAGATGTATGTGACAAACGCCGAAGGCGCACTTGGTGGATTTCTGCCCATGGTCCCACGCTGGCATTTCTAAGCGTAGGACCCAAAATTGCCAAAGATGGAAGCACACGGGTCTGTGTATTGCGTGAAAGCCGAGCCTGCACCCAGTTCTGCAGCAGCAGCGGGCATGAACTGTGGCAGCGGAGTGTTGAGTGACTTAGGCGCCATGGGAAGCCTGTTCACTTTGCTAAGAGAGCGCCCCCTCCTGCCCGTGTTCTCCGTGTCTTTTATTGTGTAATGTAAAGTCCTTGGGTCCCAGCTCTTTCCATACTGGACTTTCCATTAAGGCAGTTTCTTGCAAAAAGATCAATGCTGATGCTTCAGGGGCTGTGGAGTTGGAGGATCCAAAACCACACAGTTAATACACAGCAGTGTTGTCAGGGCTGCTCTGATTGTCACTCCGCATCTCTCAGGTGGAAATGAAGGAACGCCATGGGAAGCCAGAGCCTCTTGTAATTTGTGCAGGGCCCTCCAGAGAGGTCTGTGTCAGAAGGAAATGTACACGGAGATAAGAAAGAATACAGCAGTCAGTTGGCTTGGAGGGAGACACGGGGGCGGGGGAAGGGGGACTGATCCCAGGAGAGTGAAGCAGAAAGTCACAGCCAGCTAGGAAGACAGAAGAGAATCACATGAGTTGTTTATGCAGGGAGAAGTGTTTAATCTGTGGCATGTAGAGGTGCCGCGATGAGGGGCCCTTGCGCCCCAAAGAGAGAGCCAGTGATCCAGGCCAATAGAAACCTGGTTCCTTGAGCATCCACAAGGGAGGAGCCTGGAGCAGACATCAATTTCTTACTGATTTTTAAGGACAAGAGAAATAGCATTTCTGTCATGGGTTTCTAGAATTAGGACTCAGAGTTTAAAACCATGTCCTGCTCATACGTCAGTGTATAGTGATGCTTTCTTTCCCGGTAATAAAATAGCTAATGATTCACCGAGCGTTCTTTGTATAAGTTGTTCGTTTGTCGGTCAGCTGCTGCTGCTGCTGCTGCTGCTTCAGGTTTCCCATGCCAGCCAGAGCCCAATCCCTCTCCCTGGACACCCAGGGAGGTCTTCCATTTTCTGACACGGAGGATGCCAGAGGCTTGCAGCTGAGCTCAGGCGGGGCCGGAAGCTCTTGTCACGCCTTCCACACTGCCAGGAACGTTGTGAGCATCCAGCGCCATAGTGGGAGTTCCAACAGCATCCTTGAGGTGAAGCCATCAGGACCTAAGTATCTAGGACACAAATCAGCTCACGTCTGTTCCAACCTGGGTGGTTCAGTTGGCTGAAGCTAGATCCCTCGTGCCCTATAAATATCTTCTAGCACATTCTAGAAGGAGCTGAAGTTGGGAAGGCTTTGACTCCCTGTGCCTCTGGAGTGGGCAAAGGCCACAGAAAGAGGGCAGATGGGCCCAACGGCTGAAGTCCACTCTGATCAGACACCTGCTGTTTCTCTACAAAGGCCATTGCAGGCTTTGCAGTGGCCATGAGGGGGCTCAGTTGCAGGCTTCTTTCCTCACAGTCAAGATCCTGTTTATGGAACCAATGGCAAAGCTAAAATCAGAAGTACCATAGTCCACTCCTTCCAGACAGGCTGCTGAAAGGGGTTTGAGGAAGCCAATAATTCTATTGACTCCTAATGTCACCCTTGGTTAACCAAGAAGTAAGAGTGTCCAAGACAGGACCCCCTTTACAAACGGGAAGGGCAGGAGCTGCGGGGACTGGTTCCCATCCCAGGGCTTTTATTCTTTAACTCAGATCCAAGTGGAATGTGCTGGCAATCATTACAGAATAAACATAACCACCCCACGAATCTAGCGGGGCTTATTCTCAGCATGAAAGGCAACAGGAACCAACTGGGCACGGCCTGGGGAGATTGCTGTCACAGCCCCCTTCCGACAGCACTGGACAGCAGAGTCCACGTATGTTTTCACGCATAACCTCTTTGGGAGCGATTTTGATGAGTGTCATGTTCTGTTCCCATCCTGCCAATCAGCACCCACCCCCTCCTGCCCCCGTAGTTGTGGAAAGAAGTGTTTGATTTTGATTAACTGAGGAAAATTGTTACATCCATTTGCTGTTTTTTCTGGAACCGTGAATGTTTTCCCATGCCCCGGGAGCTGTTTCACAGCTGTCTGAATCAGCGCCCTCGCGGGCATCTCCAGCTGGGCTAATGAGGGACAGCTGGCCTCAATAGCCAGGTCTCCAGGACACCGCTTGCATCTCCTGGAGCTTGTTCGCCATCTGGTGGACATTAGCGGATGCGCCGCCTCTGTGGTTCTCAAAGCCACAGTGTGGAGACTGAGGGTTCCAGGTGGACATCCCACAGGGCTGTAACTTGGGTCACTTTAACAGGGTAAAGTCCTAGGCTGCAGATGTGCAGAATGAAAAAATCACGCTCTCTCTCTCTCACCTCCTTCCACAGTGACATTATGATCTTAGCATAATCATAATGCAGGGACGAGTCAGGAAACACACAGAAGTGTGGACACAGACAGTTGAACTGTGCTTAGGGGATTTGCAGGTGGGAGGACGCTTCTTATATATACAATGAAGGCTCCCTTTGCCTTTCATCTCCTCCATCACTAGCAAAAGCTAATTTATGTAGCCAATCAAAGCTAAAGGCGACCCTGGAAGTGATGACCCGCTCTGCCCCATCCCCGCAACCTTGGGCATGCAGGCGCGCTAGCGTCCTAACAGACTTCTGGAAGGTGTTTAAAAAGGCAGAATGGGAGCCTTCCTTGTTTCATGAGAACAAACTTTCTCCACGAGAGAGACTGTAAAACAATTGCTTCGGATTCTTCTTTTCCACGTTCTAACTCACGTATTGAACAGTTGTATGCAGCCCTAAAGAAGAGTGTGATTTATGTCATTTGGGGGAAGTAGATGGAATTAGAGATGGTTGTTATGAAAGATAAACTCGACCCAGGAAAAGACAAACATCATCAGGCTTTAACACACACACACACACACACACACACACACACACACACAATACAAACATTTAGATTTAACTAGCATGTGGACACACGTAAATAAGATGGAGGCTATTTGGGAGAGGAAGGTGTTGTAATTTTTAAGAAGTGATGTGGGGGAGAAAGGCTCCATGTGACAACTCATGTGGGAAAATGAATGGGAAAGGGGGAAAGGGAGACCACCTCTGGGGACAGGAGCTGCAGAAGAAAAGTGTGGAAGCCCAAAAATGTGAGCCTGTTTCCATCTTGCCTGTAGGTCAGAGTTTTAGCTCATTCAAAGTGGTTAACATCAAATGTGGCTACACACCTGACCTAAGGCGTGGCTACTTGGACTTTTTGGCATTAAGATGATCCATATAGGTAGATCCACTCCACCCAGACCAATGGTCACCATATTCCAGCATACTTCTGCTCCTTTTGAGATAGAGGGCTGACCTTGGGCGTGACTGCCTTCCCTTCAGGATACTTAGTCTAGGGTGGGTTCACTGCCTAAACAACAGAATGCTAATGACTTGATGTCTCAAAGTACTGAAGCAAATAACTGTTTTATTTGTCCTTTGCATCGTGTTAAAGCAGTCTTTTGCCTTCTCTCCCCCTGTTGTACCGGGGAATAAAAGTGTACAGGAAATTAAACACAGGCAGATCTCAGTATTCACGGGAACTCCCTCCCAGTACTATCCTGTGTTTCTGTTTTATTATTTTCTCTCACATCTTCATCCTCTTTACTATTTTTCTAATCCCCATGACCCTATCCTGGTAACTGATATTTTTGTCAAAGCTGGTCTCCAACAGAAAAGAAAAGAGAGGAAGGGAGGAAGAGAGGAAAAGAGAGAGAAGAGAGAGGAAGAATGATGGGAGGTGGACAGGGCCCTTTTAAAAGGGAAAACAGTGAATTGCACAGGAGGAGCATTTGTGGTTGGAGCTGAGGACATAACCTGTCAGGACCCCAAGGGCAGATGCCTGAATACTAACAGAAGGGAGAATCAGGGAGGAGAAGTGGGAAGGAAGAAGAGGCCAATGGGGTGAATATGGCCAAAGTGCATGATAGCTTGTCTAAATGTCATTATCAAGGCTAGGTGATGGCTCAGCAGGTAAGAGAGCATACTGCTCCTCCAGAGGACTCAAGTCCAATTCCCAGGACTCATTTCAAGCAACTCCCAAGCACCCAGAATACCAGTTCTGAGGGACACAGCGCCCTCTTCTGACTTCTGTGAGTACCTATACCCATATGGACATACACAAAGATGCATACTTTTAAAAAATAAAATATCTTAAAGTGTCATTATGAAACTTACCACTTTGTACAATGAATACACATTAATTGTTTTAAATTAGCTTGTTGAATCTTCTTAGCTGGGACAGATGTTCCCATCCAACTGAATCTTCAGCTGTCCAGGGTTGTCTCTAGCCCAGCCAGCAGCTGGAGCCACATGGTAAATTTCTCATCTGGCCTCTGGGCACACATTGCCAAAGCATGAGCCAAGAAGAGAAGTAAACAGGGTCAGCTGTTGAGAAGGTTGGTACTTGGAACAGAGGGACAAACTGAATTGACTTTTTATAATGACTACACAGTATCTGGGGCAGGGGATATCATATGACCTGAGATGTTGCCCTCCACACACACATAGATCGCACATCTTTCCTCTTATGGTGGGCATTTCTTCACCAAATAGCAAAATCTCAATCAGAGGCAATGCTTAATATGCAAGTCCCTCTCAGAGAGGCACACAAGAGCCATAAATGGAATTGGTTGCTAAAACTACTACTATATTAAATGGTATTTATTGTTGTGGGATGCCCTTCTGTATGCTGTGAATATGTCTTATTACCATTGGTTAATAGAGAAGCTGATTTGGCCAATAGCCAAGGAGAGTATAGTGAGGCAGGAAAGCCAAGCTAAATACAGGGAGAAATAAGACAGAGTCGAGAGAGATGCCAGCAGCTACAGGAGAAGGAAGATGTGAGGTAAAAAGCCACAAGCCTCGTGGTCAAGCACAAACTAATAGAAATGGGTTAAATTAAGTTGTAAGACCTAGTTAATAATAAACCTGAGCTATTGACCAAACAGTTTGTATTTAGTATTAAGCCTCAGGATGGTCATTTGGGAACTGGTGGGTGAAAGAGGAACCTCCAGTCACAACTTATTGATCCCCTACTATGTACCATGTACTGGATTCTTTGTGTCTGCAGCCTGTTTAATCCTCTAGCAATGCAAAACTGAATGCTGTTGCACCAGACCTGATGGCGTTGCTCGGGGGATTGTGGACATGTCTGGAGCTGAAGTGCCATCGAGTACTCGAAGCTTCGTGGTTGCTCTGTGGGAACATGGAACATGACGCTGACCAGAGCACAGATGGTGGAGGCCTGGTTTGCGACGCATCAAAGGGAAGTGAAGACTTAATTCACTTCAGGACCTGTGCCAGCTAGTCTTATCTCAGCTAGAGTCATCTTGGAAGATGGACTCTGAGTTGAGAAAATGCTTCTAGAAGATATGGTTGAGGGCAAGCCTGAAGGGCACTGTCTTAATTGGTGGGAGAGCCCAGCCCATGGTGAGTGGTGCTTGCAGACAAGAAGGAAGCAAGCTGAACAAATGAGGCAGAGAAAGCCAGCAAGCAGCACCCCTCTATGGACTCTGCCTGCTCCTGCCTCAAGATTCCTGCCCCAACTTAGCTCAGCCATGGAGCTTGACCTGAGACTTGCAAATGAAATTAATTTAACCCTCTCCTCCCCAAGTTGTTTATGGCCATGGTGTTTTATCACATCAATAGAAACCCTAACTCAGGGCCATTTGTATGGTATATTTCGATGTAAATAACTGTGGTTGTGGTTTCTGGTCAACTGTGCCTGGATAGTTAGCTACCACTAGCAAGAGACCAGGATTTCTGAAGTAAACCCTTCCTTTACTGAGACAATTGATGCTGGTCAGCTGGGGCTAAGAGACCAGCTGTTGTTGAGAATGACATCACCGTGGCAAAGTCTTCT